ATTGATTTATTGGATAACTAGCGCCATCTATCCGAGAGCGTAAAGATCATTTGGTGTTGCCCTCTACCGGTTTACTGCAGCACTGTTTAGAGCGGAGAAAGTGCTAGCGATACGCTACGTTACAACTAGATGGCAGTAGTAAATTTTTCAGCGAAGTTTAATAAAGGTGTTAAATTATACTTTCAGTGTACCTACGAGATAAATTATGAACTCGAAAGCGTACTTTAAAAATATAGTGAACAACTACATGATTTGAGAACGATCAGATATTCGCAACAATTGTATTGCAGTGTGAAAAAATGGATAAAAATAAGCATTGAATGGGTACAATCTTGAAGATCTACATACAAACTGTTTTGAGCCTCCACCTGTACATTGTTAGGGTTGCCAAGATGAGGGAAATTTCATCACATTATGTTCACATTATTCACTTAATTATACATTATTCATTTAATCAGATCTACTCGTTTGCATACTAATGAAATTCTACAGCAAAAATAACCTGTTATTTGTAAGAAATTCTTAATCAAATTCGAATACTTTCATCGCTTTTACTAAAGACATCAACGCGCTCTTACGTAATTTGAAATGGAAGAAATTAAAAATAACAAAATCATTCCAAAACATTCAATTAAACCTCACAGTACGGGTCTAATTCTGGTAGCTATTCTGGAAGAATCGATTTTGAAATAGAGATGATTTCAGTCACTGTAAGGTACAGTGTACCTACCATGAGTTTACGTTAGGTGTGCTCGCTAGCGAGTACGTTTAAAATCTCTATGAAGATTTAGTTTCTTGAATTGTCATTTAGTCATTTTTTTACGCAGTCGCTAGCGAGCACATCTAACGTAAACTCATGGTAAGCACACAGATTCAAAACATTCGAGGTAAAAATTGACGTTTTCTATCCAGAAAATGGTAGGATCTAAGATCTATTTGTCCCAGGATATTACAGGTCTTATATTAGCCAGCCCTGGAGGCAATTTGATGCAAAACATGTGAAGTGCAGCGTCTCGAGTGGGTTCACACGGACAATGGCGGGCGAGCCGGCGCGCATCGCTGCGTCTGCCCTGAAAATTTGGGCTGAAACCTTGGCTTCACATACATGCCATGAACGGATGGGAAATCACGTATTCTTTTCGATTACCTCCTGTGTGAGACAAAGAAGACACATCCTACCTTTTGTTATGGTAAAGATAAATGCAACTTTCTGTAATTGTAAAGATAAATCTTTAAAGATTAAGAAAACTTTGATAATTTCCTGAAATACAACCAAAAACCTTTGGCTGAGTTTGCAACACCTTATTTAAAACGTGATTACAACCCTGGTGTTTTTTATATGGAGTTTGACAGACTTTTGTCGTTTGTTTCAGTTAAAGTAAGAGAAACAAAAGAAGCCAATTCAGTGACACACTATTTGATAAATTTCCACAATTTAGTGTGAAATGACTAATTAATTTCTAGGCATTTCAACGTGTTACTCACTAACCACATTTGACGGGTGATTGACGAGCGTGTTGTACAATATTGTGCAACAAAACAAAACAAAACAAATGCCTAACACAATAAAAACACACGTTACAACTTTCGCCGTAGATGTTATATCAATGACTAAAGTTATTTGATACATTTCCAATTAATTGCCAATTGCAAAAGAAAAGTAACACTAGTAGAAACTACTTCTATCTACGACAGTGAAAACGTAATATGTACTTAATATGTTCCTAGGACAACAGTTTATTAGTTAATTTTGACCTTATAAAATTATAATTTTGCAATAGGTCTACAAATAAAGCTAATAGAAACATAAACCTTTTAACGCCTATTATTGCTCTAAATATGACAGCTAAATTACCCCAAATTGTCTAAATTTTGGCCGTAAACTTTATAATGTCCAACTTTAGTTAAGTTGCAAGGCTATTTTGTACACTAAAGTCTATGAAACGTTTCGACATCCCCAGGTAGAATGTGGATCTATTACGCGCCTAACGCCAGTCCAGCTGATATACTATTACTATAAATAGATTTTGTAAATGCACAGTTTTGTATCGAACTCTTAAGGATTTCTGTAGTAGATAGATACTGTATAATACTTAATCATATTTTATTAAAAACAACTCAGTGCCAGCCAAGCCGTGGGCAATAGTTCATAAGTATTAATTTAAAGGTCAATAATGTATTTTATTATTTATAATAGCGTCTTTAACATTCACAATGACGGCTGATACGAAAACCTTTCTCGCCCGCAACCTTCGGCCGCACAAAGATGAAGCACACAAATGATCCTCACTAAATCTAACTAGCATTTTTTATTGTTTCCCATATACGGATTGTGAACATTAACTGGTATGCGGCCTTCAATTAGAGTTTTAAATCAGCCCACATTTATAGCCTTAGGAAAATTTTAACTCACGTTCATACCGTCATATCTCATTTTTTAGACCCACAATATTCATGGTATGAATTGCTTCATGTTTCCCGCGCTCAAGGAAATTCGTATTCTTTGTTCTTTTGAGTTTTTTATCGAGATGCATTAACATAATATAAATTGTAATCATCTAAATGCTAATTTGGTTTTAGCAACGTGAGAGGACACCCTTGACCTGATCTTTGATTATAATTCAGCTAATAGTAAATCTTTTTATAATTTCTTTTGACTTGTCTGACTCTTACAAAAACATTTAATAAATGACGAATCAAATCCTGAACTATTCAAGTATTAATATTACTTAAGATGAAATATAGTTACAAGAGTAGAAGTTATTAGTGGTTCGCATAAAGATAAAATCGGCGAAATAAAGCATATTCTGATGACCTTTAAATGAAACGACAACGGCAAGTCCACGCCAAAAACTCAAACAATTGAAACCGAAATCATTACAAAATCGTGACACAGTTGTGATTAAGATCATCCCGTGCGCGAGCATTCCTGAGCGCGCCGAATTCACGACCGCACTTCACTCGCGTTGCACTTTTATGCTCCATTCCCGCAATTAAATATGACTTTTAAAGCAGTGCAACAATAGAGAAGCAGATGCCGACAACAATGAGATGTGCTCCACAGTTTGTGACCCCGGCGTTGCTAAACGCGGACAATGCAAAAGAAGCGCCCGTTGATCGTCTTTTAAACGATCTTGCACCTCTATCGCAACTCTAATAACGCTCGGGCCAAGGTTCGTTTCGACATGCTTTCTAGTACCTGCGATAGGACTCCTCAATTTTGGCATTCGAAGTGCGTTAATTTAAATTCTTCTCACCTTTAGCCTTTTTAATTTGGTTGGGAAACCCAAAAAGCGATTGTTCGGTGGTTATTGTTTTCTGTACGAAACTGCGGTACACGCTCTTGGTTAAGAACGCAAGTTTAGTTGATAGTGGTGATATTGAAACGCTATTTTGTAACAGTCGACTGCGTTCAACCTTGTCTTCCTTTATGTTCATTTTCAGTCTGGCATCGGAGCGAACTAGTAGACCGCGAACGCTATGACGGGCTTCGAATTTGCTATGATTTCACTTATTTACGGCGCTGATATGTTCGTGCGTTTCACAACGTACCTAAGCACGAAACTACAATTTAAATCGTTCTAAAATTCGATGGTATCATTTAAAGAAACATGATGATCGACAAATCGATCATCAATTGGTTAATTAAATGTTTTTATCGTAATAATCGATTATTATCCAATATTCGTCTTCCTTATATGAACTGTAAGGAAGCAATTAGATTGTAGAAATTAATGCGTAATTTAATTGATACGATACACGTTTATGGCTTTTATAGAATCAGACTGCATATTTAGTTGGAAATAAACGAGAAATCTTAGAAAGTAAGTTAACGATAGCATTCCGTAAATGTTTCGTAACTTTGAACACTAATTACAAGCAATTGTTTTACTTTCTACTGATCGAAAAACAAGTGGCTTACTTTCACTAATGACGGCGGATCGTTAACCGACATACAAACATGTTTGTGACAACTTGCACATGATATGTTATTTGTAATGATGACTGATGATATTAGAATATTATAAAAAGTCACATAGCCCAATTAATCACAGAACTAGTTCTCTTAACAACACAAGTAAACCAGTTTCATATTGTCAACATTATAAACACGATAGCGCTCTTGACGATCTGTCTTGTCCGTGTCATGTCAAAAAGATGATTGTGATTTGTCGTTTTCTACTTCTACAACCGACATCCGCATAGCTTAAGACGACTAACTTCTCAAAAGACTTAAGGCCTGTAGCATTACGCGCAAACCACCATAAATAGCAACGTTAACCAAAAACTTTGTAATTATTTAAAACAAGAGTCATGTCCATCCCACCGGGAATTCAAATTAAAATTCTGATACTTAGAGAGTTCGATGTTGATCCCATATAAATGTTCTTGTATTTGACCAATAGAATCGCCCCTTTTCAGATCAATTAAGATTCTTTCATGTACTCTAGTATTCTTCTTCTATGGTGTGGATTTTTTGTACAACAATTAGGATCACTCGAACTCATCCTCTGTTCTTCTGATTAATTTCCTTGTCCAATGACAGTTTAACTTTCCCTCGGGACAAACTTGACCTTCACTGGTTGGGTTTTTACTGGCGGTCAAACTGTAGATCCTGGCTACACAGGACTTGCAGCGGTGGGAACGAGAGGTGGGAATAGTTCCGATCACACATCTCATCACCCTCTGTGAGCTTCTTCTGAGGTCTCATCATCATCATCATCATCATGTCAGCCATAGGACGTCCACTGCTGAACATAGGCCTCCCCTAATGCTTTCCACATTGATCGATTGGTAGCGGCCTGTGTTCAGCGCTTCCTTGCTACCTTTACGATGTCGTCGGTCCACCTTGTAGGTGGACGTCTCACTTTGCGCCTTCCAGTACGCGGCCTCCATTCCAGAACCTTCTGAGGTCTACTCCTCTGAATTTGTGAGCTGCTTTAGTATACTCATTGCGCTAAGTGTAACTTGACATTAACCTCACGTTCTCCTCTTTCCAGTGCTGGAATAATGGGCGAGGGCCTGCTGACGCTGACGTACGGCAAGCATCACGCCTGCATCCTGAACGAGGTGGGCGCGGCGTGGCGCGGGGCCCGCTACTCCGACCTGGTGCTCATCTGCGACGACGCGGTCCCGCTGGCGGCCCACCGCATCGTCATGGCCGCCGCCAGCCCCCTCATCAGGTAAACAATAGAACAGAAATTATTCGACCCGATTTTTCTCAAAATCGACTTCGATTCCCCAACCCATTTGCCTATCTGCATCGTAGGGATATACGGCACAGTTAAGGCAATGTTATTGTTAGAAAGTGATCTCTTCCAGACAACCCAGGGAGAGCACAGCTATACTTCTACTCCTTTCTAACACATTCATAATCCACAAACGGGACACAATAGTAAGGGTTGGGCGATAGCAGACTAGCTGTAGAACTTGGATCTTGGAGGTATTTGTGGAGTTGGGCACAGAACTTTGTGGACTTTTGAAATCAATAAAAATATGATAATAGCTACAAACCATCATCAGAGAAGATTTCAGTAAAGTTAAAGACTGAATCAAAACTAAATTGCATTCATTTCCAACTCAGAAGCTACTTAGATTCAATTAAAAGTATTAACTACCTACAGTCAATTAATTAATCAATTATGCTGAATATTTAGCTATCATAATTTGTACATTAATATGTAACAGTTCATTATGCATAACGCAATAGAGAAGCCTAACATAACCGGATGAATTAACTGAATTTATTTATCCGACTTGTTTACTAATCGAAGAGTTGTGATGTAAACTTTTATAGTTTCAATGTCACATTATGATTTTATATCTCACCTTTTCAAGGCGTGTCTTATAAACGATTTATTAGCTGAACAGTCATCGGTTCTTCTGAGAAAAGGATGATTTAAAATGGATGTTTTATGGTTTTTCCAGGAAAATCCTCGATGACACGCCGTCCGTGGAGAACCCTGTCACAATCCACATGTCCGGGATCAGTAGCACGCTGATGAGGCACCTCCTCGTCTTCTTGTACAGTGGACAAGCCTACATTGAAGTAAGTATCTGTATCTATCCATATAGCTTTATTATACGTATGAATCATGACTTCATCCAGTGATTCTATAATAATAACAATGCATATTTTATTTGCTTTCTATTATTTTGTCGTGCCAAAACTGTTGTACCCGAAAATTTTGTTCTCATCAAATATGTCTTCAATCTCAGTTATCAAAACTATTTCAAATGAACAAACTGACAGCAACCACTGGAAATAGTGCAATAGTGGAAAATAGAATTAAACAGCAACTAATTACTAACTCTTTCTTCCTTTTCTTTCAGTCCGGTGAAATTGATGACATGCAAGAACTCTTCGAGCTGCTGGAGATCAAATCAGACGTATGGAAATCAACAAAAGAACGACAGCAAGCGGAAGAACGGAACAGATCGTGCGAGCGGCTAAAAGGCAAGAACTTGAAGACAGACATCAACAGCAATGAAAGCAGTAAACACGATGCTCCATCAGGCTCGTCACATTCAGAGAGCGATCGGGTCACACCGAGCGCAGGATACAGCAAAGATAAAGAACGAGACTCAGAATCACTAAGCATAAAGAAAGAAAGCATGTCCACAAGTAGTAACGATGAAAGAGAAGACGATGACCATGACACGGAAAACAGAGACAAGGAATGCGGCCGGTTGACTTCAAGGAGGAGGAGTTCTTCCAACCCCGTCAACTTATCAGTACAAAGGACATCAGAGAACACAGGCAGTGAACACGACGACTCGCAGGATTTGGATGTTGAAACTGTTGCCACCAAGGTAAATAATACACTTGCGTATTTGTGTATTTAATAAGACAAACTCTAATTCTAAGACACTTCTCAAAGAATCCCTATTTAAAATCAATGATATAAATGGTACTTCAACAATTGTTTTTATCTTCCAGAACATCGGTCGGAGAAGGTCTACATCGTCAAGTCAAGATGATCAGCCACAAGAAACAGTATACAGAAGACAACTACTAAATGATCGATTAGGCCGAGGAATTGAGAGAGCTAAGCGAAAATCACATTACTTAGAGCCCCCAGAGTTAGATCTACGGACTGTCAAATTAGAAGATTATGCACATCTCAAACCACCTGACCAGGATTTGATGTCGCTTGTTCAGACCTCGCCCGAAAACTATGTTGTCACCCCTCACAGAAAACGAAGACCCGGCTTCCATAATTCACCGTCCCAGAACCCTCCATTTGTATCGTTTGCCCCGAGTTACTTGGAAGAAATTGCAAACTTACGGTACCCACAAGGACCCGCCGGCGCAGCCGCTGTCGCGAGCGCGCGACTCGCAGCCTTACACCCGCTGAGTGCGTCAGCTCCACCGTACTTACCGGAGCGAAGTGCCACTCCACCCACAGCGACACACGAAGAACACCACAAATACAGACCACCCAGCGCTGGATCATGGAGTCCCTGGCTGTGTCCGCCTCAAATGAGCGCTGACGAAGCGCCGTCATCAGAACATGACCAGGGCTCCAGCAAGCAGGCACCAGTGCGAGAATACCGCTGTGAGTATTGTGGAAAGCAATTCGGTATGTCGTGGAATCTCAAGACGCATCTTCGAGTTCACACCGGCGAAAAACCATTCGCCTGTCGACTGTGCGTCGCTATGTTCAAACAGAAGGCCCATCTGCTGAAACATCTTTGTTCGGTGCATCGGAATGTGATATCGTCGAGCGAGAATGACGGGCGGACTAACACGCCCGGTCGCTTCAACTGCTGTTTCTGCCAACTCACGTTCGAGGCCCTTCCAGAGCTCATCAGGCATCTGTCGGGGCCTCACAACAGTTTGCTACTCAGCAAAAACCTGCATGAATGACGCACGCCTATTTGACGCGCACTCTCGCGTAACTTTGGACTATGAAAACTTCTCTCAATTTGAGAGTTCAATTGTGATATGTTCGTAAGAAGGTTATAATGTAAGTGCCTAGTTTTAAGACATGTGATCGCAGAGCGATACTCATAGGGAATCATCCGCAGGAGCGGCGGGTGCGATATTGATTACTAATTTAAAAATCACATGTTTGCCGAATGGGTCCAAATTGTTATAATTTGTTTAAAAATTATAATCCGGGACCAATAACTTCCAAGATAGTATTTATTTGAAAGATGTATTTCATTAGGGTAAATATTATTTAAAAAGCCACCGACACATTAATTCCTTAAGCATAGAAAATAGACACAAATTGTCGATGAAAAGTTGCGAAAAAAGGCCGAAGCCTAAATACATGTCACCTAAACTACCTCCTAATTTAAATCAGTATCTTGATGAAACTTCGGTGACGTTCGAATAGGTTTTGGGATTGATTACGTACTTTCTTTGCTGGAAGTATGCAGTCAATGATTCTAGTCAGAATTGGAACTAGTAATGGTATATCACTACATACGTAATTGTTGTAATAACCACAGTGATTAATTGGTAGTTTAATATTTATTTAGATTTTTGTATATTTTATCCATTTAAAAATATAGAAAACGTACGTAGCAATTATATGATTTATACTCCTCTACTCAAACATCTTGCTTGTTCCAACGTGGTATTATCTGACTTTAATTTCGCAGCTTTTTAAAGACACTAAACAATCTCAATATTAGGTTTTATCAATTTATGTAATTCTAAAGTTAATGAAAATGTGTTCGTTTTATTATATTTACATTTATGTCTCTAAATCCTTTCATTCGTTTGAACTGTTATTCGCAATGTAGAAGCACCAAAGATTTGTAAAGCATTGAAGATGTTTTGGTGTTACAATTAAGAGAAATTAAAGGGACCTGAAATGATTATGATTTGTTAAACTTAACTTAGGTACCAATTTATAATCTCATCTCTAGTTACTAACTCATTATTTTCTGTAACAACTCTTATAATTCCACTACGAACAATTCGTACGAAACTTGAATATACTTTATCTATTTTTGGATTAATTTACTGTTAAGTATTACCACTTTACATATTTTTGGACAACTCTATGGCTTCCTTATGAAATTTTGAATTATTTTTCGATGTCACTTTTGAACACTTATTGTGGCCAGTTATATTAAAACTATTTTTATAATGAAGGCTGGATGTGAGATAGTTATACAGAACATTGATATTATGATGAGAGCTTCTTTACGTAAAATTTATTCCAAACATGTAACGTTGATTGGAACAAATTTTGCTTTTCCGTAATACTCATTTTGTTTCATGTCCGGGGATATAATACATGCATGTATTCCATTATAATTGAACCATTTGCATAGGTTCTAATTGTTTTGCAATGATATCTGTTACAATGCAATGTTTGCTATTAACTCTTATACTATTTCGATGATAAAAACTAAAGTTACCAACAATTTGTTCAAAACTTAGAGTAAATATAAATTCGAATGCTTTAATATAATTTCTTTGAATGTTACCTATCTACCTGATACTTTTTTGGCGTCGTGTATTTGACGTATTTTTAAAAAATGGGGGAACAATTTAATTTTAAGAATTGTGATTTTGTGGTAACATTAGATTATTTTATGTGATAATGTCTGTACTATAAGTAGGCACTGAGAACGCAGTCTTCCATCGCGTTTTCCATTTTCGATGTGTTTTTCGTGTAAATAAAATTTAGTGTTAAGGAATGATGCATGACAAAATTTACCCATTGTATCCGAAAATACTGCCTACAAACCAACGGAGATCTTACACTCGAACAAATAATTATATTTTTGCGTCGTCTTATTCACTTTGAGTACATTTATTAATGTGATATTACGGCGTAAGCCAAATTGCCTTAAAATCAATGCAAATAACTCAATTGTATTTTCATGTTTATTTTTTTCGGATTGTCATTGCTCATTCATTTCGAGGAATTTTACAGAAACTTAGTGGCAACATAATAATTTTAGATGCCAAACAAATAAAAAAATATCTTATTATTAAGAAATTTTTAAACTTTTACATTTTGTACGCTCGTAATATGCGATGAGAAGTCGAAAAAAGTAAATCTAAAAAATACGCACTAATTCGAATTACTTTTATTCTAAATCATGACGTTGTTAAGAATTAATGTAAATAATAAATAGTTTATAAGTTAACTATAAAAAGCTTAACTTTATCTTGTTGAACTTGAATATTGATTTTCTCTGTTAATTGTAAATTAAAATTTATTTTATAAGTTTTCACTTAGTGTACAATTTTTTGTAGATACTGTTTAGAACATTAACATTCTGTAAAAATGTGTTCTTACCGTAGTAAATTAAATAACGAAAATATTTTAGTTACCCACAAAACTTGTTTATTTATTCAGACACCTTTAGGAATTTAATATCGTTATCATAACATTTTAAAAAGTAACCACTTGATCAAAGTGGCTATAAAGCTGAAGCAATCGTCAAGCTTAATAAATTTTCTTATTGAACTTTTAAGTGTTTAGTGCCCGTTTTCTCACCATCAATCCCTAATTTTTTAGTGACCCTTATGAAAACAAAATTCCTGTTAAGAGTTACCATAGAGGTCGCTTAAAAATTAGGGATTGAAGTGGACGTAATAATCCTAAAAACGTAGAGCTAAAAGGGTACTAGAGAAACCTTCATGTTTCTAAAAGAGAAGTAACGATAGTTAATCCTAATTTATGACTGATAAATTACGGCTAATTAGACTAAAAGAAGACCCTTATAATAAATCACCTCGGTACATGAGAATTGAGAATAGGTACAAACAAATCTAAAGGGAGTAGTCGTGAAAGAGTAACAAACATCCATCCAGACATCCAAACTTTCGCATTTATAATATCAGTAATAATATAGTAATATTTGTCGTTACTCGATGATTCTTAGCACCTGCCAGGATCGGTCTTCGTGGAAATCCTTGGGGGAGGCTTTTGTCCAGCAGTGGACGTCTTTCGGCTGAAACGAACGAACGAACGAATAGTATTTGAGGGCGTAAGACGTAAGTGGACTATATTTTTAGCGCTACCCATTGACGCATAGTTATTTTATAAGTCCAAATATAGCATGTTTCAAATAACTCTACGATTAAAACAAATCTTTACTTTCCAATGACTCTACTACATCTAATCTTATCTTATCATACCCTAAGCTAGGGCCTTTCTTTCTATCACGAAACAGAAATGTATGGTCGCAAATCTATCTGAATGTATGACAGATTGTTTTTTAATGGGACAGGAGGCAAACGAACAGACAGATCATCGGATACAGCGCCCCTAGCGTCTACTTTCAAGGATTAAAATGTGCATAGATTTTTGACGCACTCGCTAGCGCACTCATGGTAGGTACCTAAGAACGCTGGTCCTCTCATTAGTTTTTCTTCTCTAGGGAAAAATGTTGAATATTTTTAGTGGTAGGTATTGGCAAAAAATAAGTGTTGTATGATGTTTGAGGTGGTTAATTTTAAAACCATAAAAAAATATTTCAGACATAGTCACAGGCGTCCACTAGTATAACTTAAAAACAATCCTAGTTAACGCTTCTAGTCTAGACGCTGAAGGCCAATGATAACAATGTAATAAACATTCGGACGCTATCTAAAGTTATGTGCAACTGTAATTCAAATGCACAGTTGCATTGCATGGGGAATATAAAGTGTATCATTAGATAAGCTTGAGGAAGAGTAGCCAAGATTGGAGAGAAAAATAAAAAACTGGCTAAGTGTGAGTCGGTTTCGATTAAGGGTTCCGTATCTTTCTATCCTATAAGACTAGCTGTGTCAGCATTAAATTATAGTGGGAATTTTAATGCACACTCTGTGTACTTGTTTCGAGAATCTGTCAAATTATGTGTCATTTTCGAATTAGCACATGCAAAACTTTTTTAGTCAAAAAAAATTTACCTTACACGCATAAATACTTATTTCATCACGCGTAAGTAAGTAAATATTTCAACTTAGACAAATCCAAGGGCAGCATCAGCCCCTCAAATCTCATTACGTTAATTTGATGTCAGAAGGAAGCCGTATCTGCGTGTGGGGTTGACACTGCGACTGGCACTGTGACCTAAGCACTGAACAGGTGAGTGTCGTTACCTACATTTAAATAAACATCAATCTCTTCATTTTATTCCTATCATTAGTAAACAATCATCATGACCATCTAATGTCCAGACCCCTTAGAAAGTAGACGACAGCACGTTACATTATCCATTTTTGTAGCGATATAGCACTTATTACAACTAAGGCCCGATTCGACCAAACTTTTATCTGAGAATAACTCCTGTACTACCTCTAGCTTGAACAACTTTCGTCTTCGAATCGTTTGCGTATTTGACAAAATTCCATACTCAAGTATTAATCCTTCGAATTAAACGATAATGTGACAATTTTGATACTCAAAATAAGTTTCGTGCAACCATTTCTCATACTAAGTTCACTTTACGACACGTTCACAAGGCTGTACGGTACCTCTAGTACGNTTCAGACACCTTTAGGAATTTAATATCGTTATCATAACATTTCAAAAAGTAACCACTTGATCAAAGTGGCTATAAAGCTGAAGCAATCATCAAGCTTAATAAATTTTCTTATTGAACTTTTAAGTGTTTGATGCCCGTTTTCTCACCATCAATCCCAAAATTTTTAGTGACCCTTATGAAAACAAAATTCCTGTTAAGAGTTATCATAGAGGTCGCTTAAAAATTAGGGATTGAAGTAGACGTAATAATCCCAAAACGTAGAGCTAAAAGGGTACTACTGAATCAGACCTTCATGTTCTTAAAAGAGAAGTACCGATAGTTACTCCTATTTTATGGCTGATAAATTAAGGCTAATTAGACTAAAAGAAGACCCCTATAATAAATCACCTCGCTACATGAAAATTGAGAATAGGTACAAACAAATCTAAAGGGAGTAATTTTCAGAAAGCTTCAGTTAAAATTTATAAATCAATTATAATATTTGAGGGCGTAAGGGGACTATCTTTTTAGCGCTACCCATTGACGCATAGTTATTTTATAAGTCCAAATATACCTTGTTTCAAATACGATTAAAACAAATCTTTACTTTCCAATGACTCTACTACCTACATCTAATCTACCCATACCCTAAGCTAGGGCCTTTCTTTCTATCACGAAACAGAAATGTATGGTCGCAAATCTATCTGAATGTATGACAGATTGTTTTTTTTTGATGGGACAGGAGGTAAACCACCACACGGATCATCGGATACAGCGCCCCTAGCGTCTACTTTCAAGGATTAAAATGATCATAGATTTTTGACGCACTCGCTAGCGCACTCATGGTACCTAAGAACGCTGGTCCTCTCATTGGTTTTTCTTCTCTAGAGAAAAAATATTGAATAGTTTTAGTGGTAGTTGTTGGTAAAAAATTAGTGTTTAATGGTGTTTGAGGTGGTTAATTTTAAAACCATAAAAAAAATATTTCAGACATAGTCACAGGGGTCCACTAGTATAACTTAAAAACAATCTTAGTTAACGCTTCTAGTTTAGACGCTGAAGGCCATTGATAGCAATGTAATAAACATTCGGACGCTATCTAAAGTTATGTGCAACTGTAATTCAAATGCACAGTTGCATTGCATAGGGAATATATAGTTGCATTGCATAAAGTATATCATTAGATAAGCTTGAAGAAGAGTAAGACAAAAAGATTGGAGAGAAATATTCGATTCGATTAAGGCTTCCGTATCTTTCTATCCTATAAGACTAGCTGTGTCAGCATTAAATTATAGTGGGAATTTTAATGCACACTCTGTGTACTTGTTTCGAGAATCTGTCAAATTATGTGTCATTTTCGAATTAGCACATGTAAAACTTTTTTAGTCAAAAAAAAATTACCTTACACGCATAAATACTTATTTCATCACGCGTAAGTAAGTAAATATTTCAACTTAGACAAATCCAAGGGCAGCATCAGCCACTCAAATCTCATTACGTTAATTTGATGTCAGAAGGAAGCCGTATCTGCGTGTACGGTTGACACTGCGACTGGCACTGTGACCTAAACACTGGACAGGTGAGTGTCGTTACCTACATTTAAATAAACATCAATCTCTTCATTTTATTCCTATCATTAGTAAACAATCATCATGACCATCTAATGTCCAGACCCCTTAGAAAGTAGACGACAGCACGTTAGATTATCCATTTTTGTAGCGATATAGCACTTATTACAACTAAGGCCCGATTCGACCAAACTTTTATCTGAGAATAACTCCTGTACTACCTCTAGCATGAACAACTTTCGTCTTCGAATCGTTTGCGTATTTGACAAAATTCCATACTCAAGTATTAATCCTTCGAATTAAACGATAATGTGACAATTTTGATACTCAAAATAAGTTTCGTGCAACCATTTCTCATACTAAGTTCACTTTACGACACGTTCACAAGGCTGTACGGCAAGCACAAAAAACTTTCGAGTTCGAATCGTTTGTTTATTCGAATCGCCATCAAAAGTTTTAGTACGAAAACTACAACAGCGCCGTTGTGAACATGTCGCAAAGTGAACTTGTATGAGAAAGGTAGTATAAGGTTGCACGAAACTTATTTGAGAATCAAAATTGTCACGTTATCGTTTAAATCGAAGGTTGAGTGTCGAATTTTATCGAATACGCAAACGATTCGAAGACGAAAGTTGTTCATGCTAAAGGTACTGGCACATTGACAGTTTCAGTACATTAGAAATAATGTCAAACTGACGATTTATTCTGAGATTGATATTTACTTTTGTTTTGTCGAATCCACCCTAAATAAGGTGCCCCGGTGCTTACTTTGATGCTCTGTCATATACGTGGCAGTTTTAATTCCAAAACCACTTTGCTTCGGCTTTTATACAAAGTTATACTTCGTTAAGTCTATCATCAGTTCAAGTATTAGTCACCATGGCCATGGTATTCTTCAAAATTGGATAGCCTGACATGCTGTCCGTGTCGATACGTGATATACCCAATNGAGGCGGTATGTCTTTTCTGAACATCCTTATAACGTAAGAACTGGCCGCCTTGTTTCCGCTTGCCGTCCTGGAGTTCAGAAAAAAAAATTCGTTTCGAGAGTGAGCGCTCACTTTGTGAGTGTCTCTTTCCAATGGAATAGATTTAGATTAGGAAATCTAGTGAGTCTATCACCAGTTCAAGTATTAGTCACCATGGCCATGGCACGGTAATAATATCATACAGTATTGTAACTTCATATAAACCGACGAAACGCGAGCTTTCCTTCGAATTTCAAATCTCGGGACGTGGTCGAAATCCAAAAGTTAGGGGTGTCGTGAATGTGCCGAACGGACGTCGATGGTCTAGTCACAGAGCACGTAATAGTGTTGAAAATGACTTAAGGTGATTGAATTTGACTGACCGTCATTTACGATCTTTGTCAAAAACTAGTCATTAACTGTCAGAAATTGTCATTTTCAGTCAGTTTGATTTGAAATGAAAATTTTATATTGTATAAAACCATTTTTTGCCAACGATTTCGCCCGCCTGAAATTAAAGTAACAGGTCATTAAGTACTCATTATGATTAGTAGATTCAAAATTATTTTAGTATATTTTTTTTAATTAGTAGATTTAATCACAAAACAACACGCATTTTTATCCTATTCCATTCACAAAGTATTTTGTTTGTCTAAGGGCTGGTTTTTCAATCCTCGGATAACTTTTAACTGAAGAATAATTTTGGCACAATGACAGTTTTAGTATGGGAAATATGTCAAAATGACAAGGTTATTCTTCAGTTAAAATATATCTGACGATTGAAAAATCAGCCGTAAATAAAAAAAAATTACAATCACAAAACTAAATAGAAATTCTAAGTAGAATTAGAATGGGTACTGTAGGTAAGCAGCCCTATCGCATGTTGTCATACCGTGACGTACCGCGGGGCTGTTGACATTTTTTTCAAAAATTATGGCCGAGTTGGAATACTGTATAGATAGTATTACCGTGGCCATGGTATTCTTCAAAATTGGATAGCTTGACATGCTGTCCGTGTCGATACGTGATATACTTACCCAATTAAAATCACGTATTTTTTGTCAAGTGGCAATAACTAAATATTTACTAAATAAAATAGCAGGTAAATACAAATAGTATACAAAGTAACACAGCGGTATATGAAGGCCGTCATATTGATTGAATTCTGAAGTACAGCAAGAGATTTAAAAGCGCACCCAAGATAAAATTAGCTTTGTCCCGATTTTCCCAAATCAAAAGTACTAATTTGACTTCGATCACACCATGACACTCTTAATAAACTTAAAAACTACAGGATATTATCTGTGCTACAGGTTATAATGTTATTATTTAGACCATTGTCGAGCAGACTGTCTATTTTTAGTAAGCAAAAACCCGCGTTAAATATTCATGAAAACGCTGCTTTTAAATATGTTTTGCACTCTACTGTACATGTTCTGAAATATTGGAACATGGCTATGATTAGTAACAATTACAAGGAATGCTACTGAGAAAAATTGGCCACGCGCAGTGTAGGGTTCCGTAGTTGTCCGTCGTTACCACAATGTATTTCAGAAGCAAGCAATTACTTCATCTAAACAAACTCACTTTTCATATTTTCTTCTAAGGATTTTTTACTGGTTACGTTTTTATAATACATGAGTGAAATGACTATTACTCTTAAACTAACTGATGTATCTTAACCGTTATAGTTTTCTTTGAAAGTTCATGAAAAGCAGTATTATTAAGAATTTTTCCAGATTTTTCAAGCCAACAGTTTAGTTTTTAGAGGCGGGGGACGCCCTACTCGATCAAAAATTGGCACTTTATACTTTAATAATTTGCAAACAGATCGCTAAATGGAAAAATAGTCTTAGAAACCCCTAAGCCATTTCTATCCAACGATATCCCACACGATGAGGTAGAAGATGAAAAAATCCCTACTTTCATGTAGGCAGTTCTACCCAAATATTTTTTTTTTTTCAAAATTTTATTTTACCCTTTTGGCGGCGTCATTAATATACATACCTCCACAAAATTACAGCTCCCTAGTGCCAATAGTTTCCAAGCAAAACCTCGGTCAGACAGACAGACATATCGAAACTATAAGGGTTCCTTGTCAGGACTACGGAACCCCAAAAAATGCATCGACTTAAACTGTAATGCGTTCCTAAAGTCTAGTTCAAAAACAAAATTCCTTTATTTGTATAGACTATTAAAAATAGTGCTTACAAATCGTCAAATATTACAATAAAAATAAAAGACTAATAGAATCTTTAAAGTTTTGCTCTTATGGAGCTTTCACATTCATGTCTCATAATCTTTTTGCCCTACAAGCGCTTCGAGACCAACATTTGACAAGTGCTGAGAAAAAACGCCGCAACAAACTAAGTCACTACTGTCTGCCGGTTAAAATAAATAGAAATGATATCTAGTAGTTATACCTAGTTATACATACTCATAATAAAGAAAAGTCCAAACCTACTAAAAAGGCTGTTTATTTTTATTAGAAAACTGTCGAGATTTCATTATTTCTTATCTTCAACAATCATATTATTTTCTAGTGCTTAAATTCTTCAAACTGCCTCTACCGTGAAACTAAAAACAAGTCTAGGTTTAACTATTCAAGTGGACATGTCCTCCCATTTGTAGACACTTAGCAACGCTATCTTACCATCGCAAAAATCTAGACACGATGCTTTCTACATTTTTCAACGCTTACAGAAACGATAAAGACATCATCTATTTACAAAATGTTTCGACTGCAAGAAGTTGAGAACACGTAGTGAAATGTGAAATTATGATACTTGTAATTTTATCAAAATCAAAATAATCTAGTTTCTATAGACAAGTGTAAAAAGTGTAAGAGACGTTACTATGAGTTTAAAAAAGAACCTATAATGTTCTGGCGCAGTCGGGTAAAAATGTGGTAAAGTAATCATTAACAATAATTCAATAAAATCTCAAAAGAAATAAGATATTTACGCAAATAGATCAACTTTACCAAAAGGCGACTAAAAGTCAAGAAACGCCTGCATCTTAGCAATGTGCATAGAAACAACACCGTTAGCGCATCGCTTTAGTACTTACTTAAACAGCCATGCCCATTTCAGTCTTACACCAGCAAATAGGTATGTTAATGCTATCATCGCCTCTGCGATTCCTAGAGTTTTTATTGCTGGCAAGAATTCAAATATGATCGCCTCTAATAAAACCCAAGTACTTAAATGGAAAATCGTTCTACGAAGAAACAAGCTCTTTTGATACTGAAAATTATAACTAAACACATGGCTACGGGTTGGAGATCGCAGTTTAAAAGATTGATATTTGTCAGAGAGCGCTGCTGCCCGTTCTCTGTTTGATGTGTAGTCCCTAAGTCGCCTCTTACGACACCCGCGGGAAGACCCGCCTGCCAAGCGTGGGGATTATGGCAAAACCCTCCACTGTAGTGGAGGAGGCTCATAGTCCAGTAGTGGACTGTAAAGGGCTGTTGATGATGATGATGACATGGCTACGAGATAGTACATGCGCTGGTAATCAAAATAATTATATTATTACCATATAATTACTGTTTACTCTTTAATATAAACATTAATTTTGTTACGGTGTAAGCAAAAATTGACAAGGTGACATAAGATTAGTATCTAATCTTCTACTAGCTGAGAACTGTCATAAATGTCATAGCAACCGACACAAATTATATGCTGTTACTACTGCAGATTTATATTAGTAAGCAATAAGTATTATAAATTACGAGCACAGCATAGAGTTAAAGCAAATATAATAGAGTTTAGCAAAGATCCAGAAAAGTTCTAAATTGAACGTAAGCAAGACGAATCCCTAAAACAATCCATTCCTATATAGGGCAGCATAGATGCTTTCAAAAATAGACATAACCATAATTAGATACATACAAAGTAAATTACAAGTGCGGGCTAGGCAAGCAATTTAGTTCTTGCAGCGGTATAAAAATAGAAAAGGTAGAAAATAAAATGGCAACCCGGGGAACCGGTAAGTGGGCAGATGGGGACCTACATCTTTTTGCCTTGCCATTTACGGAGGCGAGCTGGGAACATTCCACTCTTGCTTGCGTTAACCATTATGTAGAAATAACTAATTGCGATTATGTATGTCTGTGAAAAGTTTCTAGACGGCTATGCTATGAAGAATGATTTGGGATACACTACATACGCTACGGAACACTTCGAATGCTTAACACCTGTTTGCTTATTTCAAATCGTCTGTCAGAGATGCCTAGACTCCGGTATCTAAACTTATACCATTTGATTTCGTTTCATTTCAACGGAATTATTAATCAAATAAAGTACGTAGATGTCTAGATCAATTTCATTCAAACTGAAAAAAAGTAATGAGAAGTTGCATAATGTGTAAGCCTTAAATAAGCACACAATAGTGCCAGTTTTAATTTGTGATTATCCATTAATATAAGTTGAATAGTTGAATAATGTATTTGTATTATTGGTATAGTAAATAATTTGTGTTACTTGTAAGGATATCACGTCACCGAGAACATAGAATGTATTCATGTGTTCTCAAGACGTATGAAAGTCCTTAGCAAATTCTGAAATCAGTGCATGGACAGACAAATGAAACTTTTAAGCTGATACCTATTTAAAAATTGTTTATTTGCCACATATCATAAAACACAAATACATTTTGTGCAAAAACAATACTGTGTAACGAATATTACATCGCATCTGAAACATCTTAAGCTAACGAGAAGAACATCTCATAAAATGTGTAAATAAATTACCCTGTCTACAACTTTAACTGGTGTTAATTACAGTAAATCCTGGTGCTAATTTCCCCACAAACATCACGTCCCACGTAAACCTAACACTGAAACGCCCAGCAAATATCATACACATCCAGAAAAACTTCCCACCAAACAAAGCGTCCCATTAACGCACACATGCGCGCTCCTAACAAGGCCTGCAAAATTCATTACGGGTTTGACGGCCATAATAAATCAGCCTAGGTTCGCTAGATAAAGTCCCTAAGGTGTGCAGGACCGGTTGCACGACGAGGGTTTATAAGCGGGAGTCGGGAGCCGTGTGAGCATTCCCGTGTCGTCAGCCCTCCAGAGATCACCATGTGGCGGTTGTCCGTTCTCTGCCTGCTAGCCAGTGCGTCTGCACAAATCCCCTCGCTGGGATGGTGCCCAGACTTTCAGGTGAGTGCTTAATTACTTATTTCTATTATCAAATAAAATACTTTTCTAGAATTTCTATTNCTTCTATTTGCTGTTTATTGTACATTTTATTGTGTTTTGGGATGAATCGAAAATGGACAGCTGTCTAAATTACAAGTCAAGTCTTTATCCAATATCACATACGACGTGATAAAAATTGATATCTTTTCAATTTTTTGCTCTTAAATTCGTCAAAGGGTCATTTATTGAGCAGTAATATCTCAAAATTCATAAAATAGGAGGGTGATATGCTTCTGAAACTTAGATGCCACCGTTATTGCAAATGAAGCAATAAATAAGTTACCGGATTGCCGGTGGCAATTAGAATAAGGTACATTTATTTGAGTAAAGTTTTCTTTTCGAGTCCCAAAAGTTGCCCTAACAGTTTGATACCACACTGTTATTAGCAATAGAATCGCCACTAGAAATCTCCTGTCTATACCTGTCGCCATCAACACAAGGTATAAACCTAGACAAGCTAATGAAGAGAGTAACCTAAGTTCATAAAATTAACTGACAAAGCCAATCAGAGTTGGAGTTGGATGTGTGAACTGAATTGATGTGTTTTGTTTATACAAGACCATAGACGCTTACAATCAGAAATTTCTTTCAAAATTTCAAAAACAAAAGAAATAAGATAGCTAATAATCCCGTGCAATTATAATATCGATGCATATCGAGACGTAATGAGCAGCCTTGAACCACCTTGACCGTTGTTACGGCGGTTGTATAACTTATTACGAGTTGCGCGGGCGCAGAGACAACGCAGACCGGTCGCGGGTCATTAACACGGACCACCGGGCCACTCTCGCTTTCAATCATTCATGATCATCTGGGCCATCGGTATTAATCGGTAGCATATGATTATTGCAAAAACGGACGTTGGGTTATCGAGTTGACGAAGAGAGCCCGAATCTGCATTATATTTCCTATAAGCATCAAATAATTTGTCAATTTTATGAATTAAGCCATTTTAGGTAGATATTTGTTACGAGCATCTGTCCGAAATTAAAATAGAAATACTAGAATAAAAATAGGAAAGACTTTATTGACACAGTAAGTTACAGTAACGTATAAAAGAAAAACAATGGTAGATCAGTATCTACCAGCTCAGTCGCTACTGTGCCTAGCATACGGACAGATTATGATATTTTATTATAGAAAATTCATCAAGAAAATTCGAGTAGATGTTAGAAAGATCAAATTAATATAGGCCACAAAGGAGATATCGTACAAATTGTCCCAATTTGTTTTGTATTTTTAAGCCCCCTTACCAACAGCAAATTCTTTCCACAGCCTATGGTGAACTTCAACATGAACCGCTTCCTCGGGACATGGTTCGAAGTGGAGCGGTACTTCACCGTCAGCGAGCTGGGCACCCGATGCGTTGCCACCAACTACATCAGCACCCCTGAGGGCAGGATCCTGGTCTCCAACGAAATCACCAACTACATGTTAGTATAGTCAAGGGTTTGAGTTTCGATTATCATTTTAAAAATTTCTAGAAAATTTACAAAATCTTTTAGGGCATCCGTGCACCCGCGCAAGTTTATGGCCCTTAAACTTGAAAATACAAAAGCAATAAGTAGGTAGTTTAATGACATTTCACTTTCATAACAGCAGCTGTGATCAACAAACCTCGGGTTGCAAAAATAACAAACTGCTTAAATTCTGCCAAACTCCAGGCAAAAGCTTTAGTTTTAGCAGGTTTAGTTACAGTTACGGTTGAAGTTGAGGTGGTGCAACTTAGCCTTAGTTTATTACGGGTTACACCGCCTATAATCTTTTTTAAAGAGTTTGTTGAATAATTCATTGCAGAATTAAAATAAAATGCACTGAAAAGACTGTCTAAATATAAAATTAATAAATCTTTGTCTTGCCACAGCACTGGCTTGAAGAGACTGATGGAGGGACACATCCAAATGGTGGGCCGCGAGGGCGAGGGCCGCTTCATGGTGAAGTACTCCTCTCTGCCCCTGCCCTACGACTATGAGTATAGCATCCTGGATACTGACTACGACAGCTACGCCGTCATGTGGTCCTGCAGCGGTCTTGGGCCCGTTCATACACGTGAGGACTTCATTATTATTGATACCATACAACAGCTTAATTTTCAGTTTAAATCTTATTATTTTCCACAAAAGACAGTCTATAGAATGCTGCATCTAAATTCATTTGCATCTAACTAGACCACGGTTTACTTTTGATTAATATTTCAGTTAGAATGGATCATGGACCAATGCTTAAATAACCTAAAACTTTTGACTCTGAGATGGAAACAGATGTAAACCCAGCGCGTGAAATTAATAACAATGTTACACATGTTGCTACAAATTTCAGATACTACAGCATTCAGTCAGGGAACAAAACTAAAATATTGATCATCATTACAGAGAGTGCTTGGCTGCTGACCCGCGACAGGCTCCCATCGCTCATGACGATGCAGAAGGCCTACGCCGTTCTCGACCGCTTCAAGATCTCCAGAGCCTTCTTCGTCAAGACCAACCAGGCTGACTGCACCGTCTTGCCCGACCCTATCGCTGACCCCAATTATGAAGAGGGCAAGAAAATCGACGTCATCGAGAAGAGCGCTGGCGTCGTTGTCGATAACGTGAAGAAAGTCGAAAGCCCTGTTGAGGTATTTATTTCAAGAAAGAATCAAATGTTACATTACCTAACTAGCAAGGTGGTAATTTCCACATGGCAAAAAAAAATATTGGATAAAGTTTTCCACTTTTACTTTTGGTACATAACATGAATGTTTTGAAGTTTCTGCAGTTCAAAATCTATATTTTGAATTTCACAATTTTCTTGCATTCATTTTTCTTACAAACATTACTAATACGTAAAACCTTACTACGTTTTCTCTTTGCAGAAGGTAGTTGTCCCTGAAGTTGTAAAGCCTGAGGTGCCACAAGAAAGATCTGCAATACCCGAGCCAGCTGTGGACGACGCCAAGCCCCTGCAAGTGCCCGAACTCATCATGTCCGAGTCCGAAAAGAAAGAAGAAGCAGTCGAACAACCAGTATTGAAACTGGACGCACCAGAGAAACCCGTGGAATCCGAAATGAAGGAAAAAGAGGCAGAGCTTCCTCAGAGGCAGGCAGAGGCTCAGTAAATACAGTTACATTGGAATGGTACAATGGTAGTCATAGATTGTGATCAAAAGTGTGACGATTTAAATACTGTACACGATAGGGCTATTTGACCAAATAAGTAACGCACGAGGCAAGAAACACCGATGTTTGAGCGCCTGTGGGCGCATACAGCATCGAATTAGTTTTAGATGCACGATAGTCACTACAATTGTAATAAATCTCGAAGTCAACTCTCAAATAAATTAATAAGAAATAATGCGTATTATTTTATTTTCAACACCCGTTCCCTAACTCCGAATATGGGGTTTAATTTTACCATCACTTATCTACGAAATATAGCTTACAAGTAGGCAATTTATAAATTGGTCGACTATTTAGTTCGTTCGTTCGTTTCAGCCAAATGACGTCCACTGCCTGCTGGACAAAGGCCTCCCCCAAGGTTTTCCACAATGAACGGTCTACTATTTAGTTCCACAACGACTATTCGCCTGCCTCTTAATCGCACTAAAATTTCGTCAAAAGCACAAGGATTTTTTTTAGCTGTTTACAATAATCTAATCCTACTAAATGGACCGACGATCTGGTAAAGGTCGCGGAAAGAGCCTGGATGCGGGCAGTGCAGAAAACTTTGAGGGAGGTCTTTGTCCAGCAGTGGACGTCATTTGGCTGAAACGAACGAACGAACAATAATGTAACTTGCTTAGTTTCATGTACCTACCTAAAGTTGATTTAACACAAGAAAAACAAAAGGCAATGATGCTTACAAATTACAAATTAGGCATATAATTACGAGTATGCTTATACCTAATTAGTGCTCCAAATATAACACTGTATCTATTGCACTTAGCTGTTCCAAACTCTGTCCTAATTTATTTAAGACTAATGACAATTCCGAATTACCAGCTACTATTTTTACTGCAGAAGATAAGACACAAATAGTATCCAAACAAACTCTTACGACACCTACGCTAATACTACAATAATAAGATACTAAGTATACACACATAAACGAGTATACTACTAACCAAAACTATAATTTTATTATTTTAATAAACAACTTGAAAAAATCGAACTGCCTCTCTCGAACCCACGACGTTTGAGAAGTGACTCTATTCGCTAAGAAATTTTAATAACGAATTTTATTATTGTTTTTAATTAAATAATAAGCCAAATAAATCAGGAAATATTACAAGTTTTCTAAGAACCACTATAAACATTTGTCAAAAACACCCAATTTTGTATTTATTACAAAAAAACATTAAATTATTTTCCGAAGCAAAAGGATCGGGTCTGATTATATTGGTCAGGCTGTTACTGAGCACCCACTCCCGGCCGCTATCCCACTNTTTCTATTTGCTATGTTTATTGTACATTTTGTTGTGTTTTGGGATGAATCGAAAATAGACAACTGTCTAAATTACTGGTCAAGTCTTTATCCAATATCACATACGACGTGATAAAAATTGATATCTTTTCAATTCTTTGCTCTTAAATTCGTCAAAGGGTATCATTTATTGAGCAGTAATATCTCAAAATTCATAAAATAGGAGGGTGATATGCTTCTGAAACTTAGAAGCCGCTGTTATTGCAAATGAAGCAATAAATAAGTTAACAGACTGCCGGTGGCAATTAGAATAAAGTGTATTTTGAGTAGACTTTTCTTTTCAAGTCCCAAAAGTTGCCTTAACAGTTTGATACCACACTGTTATTAGCAATAGAATCGCTACTACAAATCTCCTGTCTATACTTGTCAGCATCAACACACCTAGACAAGCTAATAAAGTGGGAAACCTAAGTTCATAAAATAAACTGACAAAGCCAATCAGAGTTGGAGTTAAATGTTAAGACTAACTAAATCGATGTGTTTTGTTTATACAAGACAATAGACGCTTACAAACGGAAATTTCTTTCAAGATGTTAAAAACAAAATAAATAAGATAGCTAATAATCCCGTGCAATTATAATATCGATGCATATCGAGACGTAATGAGCAGCCTTGAACCACCTTGACCGTTGTTACGGCGGTTGTATAACTTATTACGAGTTGCGCGGGCGCAGAGACAACGCAGACCGGTCGCGGGTCATTAACACGGACCACCGGGCCACTCTCGCTTTCAATCATTCATGATCATCTGGGCCATCGGTATTAATCGGTAGCATATGATTATTGCAAAAACGGACGTTGGGTTATCGAGTGGATGATGAAGAGAGCAAATCTGTCTGATATTTCCTTTAGACATTAAAGCCATGACTTAATCTGTTAATTTTAGGGATGAAGTCACTGTAAAATTTGATATGAGCATATATGTCTGCTTAGCACACATCAAAAACAATGATATTATCAGAAAAATCAAGTATATGGAAGATTTAAGGGTCGTTGGTTGCACATGGGTTTCACACCACGACCACCGGCGTTAACGCCGCCACACGAAAATTTATGAAAAAACGCCGGTGGCGGCGTGAAGCCCATGTGCGGCGACCCTGATAGGCAAGAAAGAGATGACCAATGACTATAGTATACAAACTGTGTCTAAAAAAGCACTACAGCTTTCTCTATCTAGCTATAGGATCTACGAGTACATTCTGGCTACACAGAAGTTGCAGCGGTAGGAACGATAGGTGGGAATAATCCCGTGTAAACTATTAAATTCTTTTGTGTTTTTGTGCCTTTATATCAACAGAAAATTCTTTCCACAGCCTATGGTGAACTTCAACATGAACCGCTTCCTCGGGACATGGTTTGAAGTGGAGCGGTACTTCACCGTCAGCGAGCTGGGCACCCGATGCGTCGCCACCAACTACATCAGCACCCCTGAGGGCAGGATCCTGGTCTCCAACGAAATCACCAACTACATGTTAGTATAGTCGAGTATTTGAGTTTCTATTGTGTCGTTAATCATTTTAAGAAATTCTAGAATTCTTTTAGTTACTATTTATTACAAAATCGTTTAGCGCCTCTGTGCATCAGCGTTTTAGCGGAGGCCCATAAACTTGAAAAGACAAAAACAATAAGTAATTTGAATGACATTTCACTTTCTTGACTGTGAATTTATCAACAAACCTTGGGTTGCACTAATAATAAACGTCAAATTTCTTTGTCAGAAATCCAGGCAAAAGCACCGGTTATAGTTACAGTTACGTTTCAAGTCAAAGTTGTGCTACTTAGGCTTAGTTTATTACGGGTTACACTACTGCTTACAATATTTGTTAAAGAGTTTGTTGATTAAATCATTACAGAATTAAAATAAAATACACTGTAAAGACTGTTTAAAATTATAAAATTAATTCATCTTTGCCACAGCACTGGCTTGAAGAGACTGATGGAGGGACACATCCAAATGGTGGGCCGCGAGGGCGAGGGCCGCTTCATGGTGAAGTACTCCTCTCTGCCCCTGCCCTACGACTATGAGTATAGCATCCTGGATACTGACTACGACAGCTACGCCGTCATGTGGTCTTGCAGCGGTCTTGGGCCCGTTCATACACGTGAGGACTTCATTATTATTGAAACCATACATTATTGACAGCTTAATTTTCAGTTTAAATCTTATTATTTCCCACAAAAGACAGTCTATAGAATGCTGCATTTAAATTCATTTGCATCTAACTAGACCACGGTTTACTTTTGATTAATATTTCAGTTAGAAAGGATCATGGACCAATGCTTAAAAAGCAACCTTACACGTTTGACTCTGAGATGGAAACAGATGTAAAACCAGCGCGTGAAATTAATAACAATGTTACACATGTCGCTACATATTTCAGATACTACAGCATTTAGTCAGGGAACAAAACTAAAATATTGACCAACATTACAGAGAGCGCTTGGCTGCTAACCCGCGACAGGCTCCCATCGCTCATGACGATGCAGAAGGCCTACGCCGTTCTCGACCGCTTCAAGATCTCCAGAGCCTTCTTCGTCAAGACCAACCAGGCTGACTGCACCGTCTTGCCCGACCCTATCGCTGACCCCAACTATGAAGAGGGCAAGAAAATTGACGTCATCGAGAAGAGCGCTGGCGTCGTTGTCGATAACGTGAAGAAAGTCGAAAGCCCTGTTGAGGTATTTATTTCAAGAAATAGTCAAAGATTAGATTAGATTACCTACTTACTAGTAAGGTGGTCTATTTTCCACATGCCAAAAAAAATTTTACTTTTGGTGCATAACTTGAATGTTTTGAAGTTCCTGCAACTTGTATTTTGAATTTCCAAAATAATGTTTTCAATGAGTGCCCTTGTGTATCTTTATTTTGTTGCATTTTTAGGGTTCCGTACCTTAAAAGGAAAAAACGGAACCCTTATAGGATCACTTTNATTCATTTCTTAAAAACGTAAAAAAATATGTTTGAAAAACATTTATACCACATTTTGTAATTTTTTCATACGAATATAGTATAAAACAAAAAATAAGAAGAAAAATCCTCCACAAGCATTACGAAGCGACGATGACGCCCTCTATGCATAAATTGCCGAACTATGAGCTATCAACATTATCGGTGCCATGAACAGCACAGACTTTGTGGTTGGTTCACAATTTATCAAGATGACCGATAGTAGTGAAGAAAGTCGTGCAACCAAATAAAATAACATTTCAATAACTACTGATGCAACCTTAATAAACGCAATGAATAAAAATCATTCAAAATAAAATAAATAGTAGGTATTTCGCTGCGACAAATAGGTAAAACAACAGGTAAAACTAATTGATGAGGCAAACGTATGCTTGTGCAATTAAAATACAAAATAAGGATCTATTTATGAGAGTAAAAAGCAGAATTAGAATAAAATATACAAAATACGTCAAAAAACTTAAGAAACCGTTTATTAGCAAACTTAAAAGAATCAAAATGCAAAATTTCTTTCTACACGAGATAAAAAAAAGTAGAATTAATTTATCCATTTCCAAAATTACGAGTTACATAATCACCACTCCCTTTAAAAATAACAAAATACGGAACGAGAGTAAAATTTAAATTTTGAAGTTTGCTTGACCTCATTCTCGCGAAAAATGATCCAAAATATACCTTTTTTTAATACAGGGCTGGGTTGTAATTTAGATTTCAAGGGACACAATTTATACAAAACTAAAAAAAAGGAAGAAAAACCCATAAACAATAAAAACTAAAATAAGGTGGATCCACGACAACTTAAAATAAAAAACTATATTATATGTGTAAATATTTGAATCTCGATAGTACACCAAACAAAACCCATAGTGCCTAGCAACTTCGGAATAAGTTTCAAAAGGATTAATCTGAATAAAAAAACCATCGGAAAACTATTTTCTGCATTAGTAGGTTAGGTAGATCATTTAGTTTTTATGTAACCTAATTTTCTTCATCTTCTGCTTATCTAATTTCCTCCAAATGAATAAAACATGCGACAAAATAACAATTTAAACGAATTGAACCGTCATCCGGATGGATTTAGATGCGATTGTTAGCACTATACACGTATTAGTCATAATTTGATATAAGGCCTCCATCTACGAAGTTAGGTGTAGATTTGAATGGACCACAGTCAGTGAAGGCCGTAACCACGATTCGACGCGCTACCGAAATACTGAGTTTATATGTGGTTATATTCTGCAGAATCACAAATCATCTAAAGGTCAGTGCCGTATAATCACAACAAATTAAAAATATTGGGAATTTTTCAAATATTCGATCGATATAGATATGAGATTCAGGAAATATTCAATTGAGAAGTAACTCTAGTTCATTCTATAACTTGGGACTAACAATGCTAATAATTTAGTAGTTCTTCTGATTTTCCTTCCAAACAGTTTGGTTGCAATTTATTTTTAATAGCGTAGAGGCGTTTTTAAAATGGGACACGAATATTATTACAACAACATCGATATAGATATGAGATTCAGGAAATATTCAATTGAGAAGTAACTCTAGTTCATTCTATAACTTGGGACTAACAATGCTAATAATTTAGTAGTTCTTCTGATTTTCCTTCCAAACAGTTTGGTTGCAATTTATTTTTTAATAGCGTAGAGGCGTTTTTAAAATGGGACACGAATATTATTACTATCTATGTAGTTAAAACTTTTGAATTTAATATATTTAATACACAATAACTACTGCATTATTACTCGTACCTACAAGGTTGACAACTATAAGTATGTATATTATTAAACTATGCTAAACTACAAGTTTTATGGTGTGTTGGAAAATTTTAATTACAAATTAATTTTGCACCTCCTTCTGATCAAATTAATACAAATACAGGAAGTGGACAAATCACACATTAATTACCTTAATGTGTAAATCTTTTTTGGCCATTACTAATTTTGCTCTCTGAATAGATCAGAGTTTCAAAAGCTTTTAAGTGGAAATTATTTTTCTTAAGTATTTACTCTACTTACTACTTTTATTATTTCAGAAATACAAGTACCAAAGTACTTTCCAAATATTTTATTATTTTGGAAAATTAATTAAACAAGTCTGATATTTTTGTTTATCCCAAAATTTTTAACTTGTTGGTAACTTTGGGTTACATTTTTAAAACTCGTTAACGAATCGCACTGTATTACGTTTATTATATATCAAACTGCAGATCTTTTCACTGTATGTTTCTGGAAGTCTTTAAAAATGTACATAATATTGTATTCTCATTGATGGTCAGTTCCAGTACATAACAATTTATCAATTGTGATGAAAGTCAGACGAAGTCAGTATAAAGCAAATGTGTCAACTTATTGCTTTTCATTAAATACATGAGGCAGTATTTATTTTGAGATTGTAAAAACACCTACCCATGTCCTTAAACAATTTTCATAAGATATCTATTTTATGAGTAAAAAGGTAGGCTCACAAGATTAATTTATATCGTCGCAACAAGCAAAAGATAGGTCTTGACTTACTTAAATTATCTAGCTTATTGTTTTTGTTCGTTCGTTCGTTGTTGTATTGTTATTGTGCCGTGTTATTGTCCGTGGACAATTTTTGGATTTTGAAACTTTTGAAATTGCGTATTGACAAATAGAAAATTAAATATCATTGTGCTCCTCACAATTGTCAGCATTAACAAGGTATAATAATGTTGCTAATGACCTCCCTATATTATTATTAATGGCTTGATGTGGTGCTTCAATCACTTTGTCCATCTACCAACTAAATTTTAACCTAAACTACTTGATGAGATTAAAAATAGTGGCTTCCAGAAACCAAGTCTCAAAAGAAGAATTAAGAGAATTAAAAGCTAAACGACGTAAGTCCGAAACCGAGTATCTGCGAGTATTGTCTGCGTAAGAAATACAGAATTATTTTTTAAATATAAGGCTGGGTTGCACTATCTTACTTTAACTTTGACAAACGTCAAAAATATGTCAAATTCCATACAAAAACCACCGGTTATCGTTATAGTTACGGTCAAACTTAGGTGGTGCAACTCAGCCTAAGAGTGCTAAGAGTTCCTTTTTTGCCTCGCAGTTTTCTTGTAAGTAAGAAAGTACTTAAATAGACACTTATCTTGTAGTTTTATTATGCTAAACATTATTAAAAAATAGGTTACCCAAATTCAGTAATTTGTTAGTCGGTGTTTATCTGTNAAATCTCTGCCTTGGAATAATTAATTTACAATTTGCATTATAATCTCTACTTTAGTAAACCAATATTAGACAAGTTTAATTTTGTTTCCGGCAAAAAAGTTACACAACGGTGTAAAAAACATCTCATTAGCATTTTTCTATCAATTAAGTACAATTATTATTTGCATTTCACACATTATCATTATACCTAGTCTGAATTAGTTTTTTTTTTCACTTGAACCAGTAAATTGTGCGTGTGTCACTTATTAACCGACTTCAACAAAAAGGAGAAGATTCTCAAATCGGTTGGTATTTTTTCAATACCAAAAACACAACAAGTGGGATGTCTGGGAGCAAAAATGTCAATGAGTAAGTAATTAGCATTGCTGAGTTTTTGAACTTTGTAAAAAAACTTAGATTAACTTAACTTTTAGTTAGACTATTCATCATTTTGAACTGGCATCTTTATCTGGGATACTGTTTTACTACTCTTGAGTGTGTTTGTCAATTAAAACTAGGCCATGGACAAAGAAGATTTTAACTGTAGGTACGTTTTATATGTACATATAACTTCCTCAAAACATTTTATGAAACGTCCTAACTGTAGGTATTTATATTTTTATTATGTATGTACACAGCTTAGTTGACCTCTTCCCAAGGTACTATTTTACAGCCTTTATCTACTGGATTAAAATGACATGTACTATCTTAAATTGCGACCAACGGCACATCAAGTTTAACACTGTCTTCTTATGTTAGTTCTTATAGGTGCGAACAATGTTAAGGCTGACGTACAAGCGACAGTAATAAACAAAACTTTAAAATATTGAACCAAGTAATTGGCAAGTCTGATTCACAAGTTTTCAGATATGCAACAAACAAACAAACTTTATAGTCACCTTGACAATCTTATTTATCATGATATTAGATAACTTGTCATTGTAAAAGTATGTGCCTGCATGAAGTAATAATTAAAAACAATTTTAATAATACTAGGGCTCGTAAACTTCAGCACTCAAATTACGGCAAAAATTATATGTTGTAACTTGATTAAGTACCTATACCATTATCATAGATTTTTTTCAGTTTTTACAGATTATATTAAATATACATATCAGTTAATGCATGTTTTTAAATTGTATTCTTTTGAATGGCAAACAGTTTTTTTTTTACAAACAAAATTTATAGGTTAAAATATAATTTTTCAACTTCACCGATTTTTGTCGCCGGCCTTGGCTGGTATACGTAAACATTGCGGTGAAAAGAATTTTCGTACATTATTTATTTTATATTCTAAAAATGCAAATTTTAATTAAACTTCTTTAAAGTAACGTCCAAAAACTGTTTACAGTTGCTCTGCAGAATCTGATGGAATCTCAATATAATTTCGTATGCACATTAATAATATTTTCAGTTGCATAAAAAAAACTCCTCAGAGCAAGCATTCACTTCAAAAATGGTATCAATTTTCACTTACTTCATACCTAGCTCTACGTTTGGTCAAGTCAAAATGTATTTATTTGTATAGACTATTTAAATAGTACTTACAAATCGTCAAATATTTTGCTCTTAAGGAGCCTCTACCAGTCTCATAATATTTTTACCCTATCAGCGCATCGAGACCAACATTTGGCATGTGCTGAGAAAATCGATCACTTGAAGCGTTCGTTTATATTTTCATACAACATTTTTTTTTCAGATGTCTATAATTAAAAAGATCGTGGTGTTCCTGTGCGGAGTCATCTCCCTGGACATGTGTGCTGCCCAAGTCCTGCTACCAGGCTCTTGCCCCAATGTTTCTGTCGTGCAGGACTTCAACGCGAGTCAGGTAATTAGTGAAGATAATTAATATTATTTATCTTTTGCTCTGGTTTGCTATAATCCATGTTACTCTAGGATAATGTAGCATACGAATGGTGAAAGAATTTTTGAAATCTGTGCAGTAGTTTTTCAGTTTACTCATTACAAACACACAAAAATACAAGTCGACTACATCAGCCGAAGATGGAGTAAACGGGTTGGAGACAAAGTATCGGCAAATGTAGAGTCCTAGAAATAAGTGACAGTTGCTGGATACTCCTGGACTCCTTCAGGTATAAGGGCGTCCAGTAATGGACTACCTACAAACTGGCTTGTAAATAATGAACATACCAGTTAACTAAGGAGAATTAAGGAGTTTATAAAAGTTCAACCTCAATTTCAACGAAAGAACGAAAAAAATTATGAACTTATTTATTTTATGTAATCTACCGTTAAGCTCAATGCAAATTAAGCAAATTCCTGAGAAATAATACTCGTATAATAACGAAAAACTACAACAAGATTTGCCTACACCAGACATGTGAAAGTAAATAAAAGCTTGTAATAAATATTGGGTATGTTTTGTGTTACTAAATTTAATTTGACTTTGACCAGCATGGCACGTAAACTCGATACAACCGACTCACTCACTTAGTCTAGCTCAAATTCCAATTAAAAAACTAAAAACACTATCAGGTTTCAAACAACTTTTTGTAGCTAAATATTTAAAGGTCATTTTAAGGGGCAAAGTACATATAATTTACAGTTAGCTGTTTGTAGGGTTACCACAAAATGTAATATGATTATAGGACTGATGATGACGCCAAGGTTTTTTGGCGTTTGCCGCATTCGATAAGAATTTTCAATATTGAACTGTTGTTGAAATTAAGTTTTTAAAATACTTTATTTATGAAAACAAATAATAGTCGAAATTCAATTCAATATTACCTGAAGTGCTATTCTTGATGACTTAATAAAATAATTATTTATATTGATGTACCTACCTGTTTTAATTTTTAACGTCTTTTTTTTTATGTGACAGATACTCCTAAGCGTTTTTCTTCAGAAATGGTAATCCTATTTGCAAGCAAGTTTAGTCTTTATGAGAAATAAAACAAATGACGCGAGAGCTGTTGACAAGTCACCTAACATTATTTAACTTAACTCGCAAACAAGTACTCTAGCCAAGGACCTAGCTAGCATAGAAATAGTTTAAATATAAGCACACAGTAAGGTAATTATGTACTACTACTACTACAGTAATGCAGTAAAGTAGTCCAGTTGAGAGACCAAACCACATCTCAGGATAATTAATTGCTATATATTATAAAAACCCCAGATTTGAAGTTACACATTGTACCTAACAGGCGTAGGTAAAAATACAGTAAAACAGAGCTGCGTAGTTTTGCTAGCCTTATTTATTTTCTGCTTACTAACCTGACATTTATATTTTCTCCGACTTTTAGTTGGCCGATAGTTGGGCCCGATTCTAATTTGTATGAAGAATCGGCCGTTACCAAATCGGTGTAATGTGCTCACTTTCATACACCATACTGATTAACAGCCCGATCCAACTATCGGCCAACTAAAAGTCGGTGATCTGCGCCTAGGCTTATACCTTGATGCATAAAATTATCTACTTTTACGTTAAGTTTGGGTCCCATATGACCAAATGGTGATATCCCAAAAATAGCAGAAACATAATGAAATTGTATTATCCTTTCCAGTATCTGGGCAAATGGTACGAACAAGAGAAGTACTTCTTCATCTTCGAACTGGGGGGCAAGTGCGTGATCGCGGAGTACGAAGACAAGGGCAACGGCACCATTAGCGTCAAAAATGAAGAAATTAACGTTCTGTACGTATATTAAGAATTTGCTTTAAAATCCCGTTGTTTGTTATTTAAATGTCCAGACATAAAGGTAGCAGGAAAGCGCTGGACGCAGGCCGCTACCAACCGGGTAACATGGAAAGCATTGGGGGAGGCCTATGTTCAGCAGTGGACGTCCTATGGCTAAGATGATGATGATGACAGACGACAGCACATCAAGCTATCTTGTCTAAATAAGGGCGATTTTACAACAAAAATGAACTGTCGTCTATACGATTTTCGCTCCTAGACTATACGACTTTTTTAATAAATAACAAGGCAGGTATTGAACCGCAATCGCACCTGGTGTTAAGTGAGATGCAGACTAGGATGGTACATATCTGCCCTGTAAGTGCCTATTCACTCTCGCCTTAAAAAGGCCCGGATTATAGTGTTCCTTACCCTGTCCTATCCCTATACTTTAATCTTTTAAATGTGAAAAGGTGACAGATAGAGTTACATTGGATTAATAGAATACTTGGGGAATCGAAAACCTTCAAAGTAAACGTCCCTGACTCCCTGGATATTAAATAATAATTTACATCTTTAAAGACGTGTGAGACATGCATTATGTATAATTATTTCTATTGTACGTCTATCAGGCACAGATATACCTAGAAGGGTATCAAATGCGTGCGAAGCACAATAATATAGGTTTGATTATTCGGCTCCCAATTAGGCCTGCCTAATTATATATTGATGAAAATCAGGAATGAAGTTAGTAATCCACTGCCCACGTCGTTTTAATCAAACTACTAATAATAATAATAAATATCCTTGGACATTTTACACTGCGCTTCTAGTCCCAAACTAAGAAAAGCTTGTACTATGGGTACTAGACAACGGATATAAACATACTTAAATACTTTTTTTTGTCAATACAAATACATACATATTATACATAGAAAACACCCAGTCCAATACAAACAAATATGTTCATGCACACAAATGTTTGCACTGTGCGGGAATCGAACCCGCAACCTTCGGAATAGTAGTCCGTTTCAAACCACTACACCAAACGGCCGACTAGAGGCTGAACTTTTAGGATAGTTATTCATCATCCCAAGTGCCTGTTAAACTTAAATTCACAGTAACTTGCTAATAAAAAATATTCAACAATTTCCAGGAAAGGCAACAAGAAAACCTCCATCGAGCTGGTCGGCACCCTAGAGAACCCCAACGAAGGAAGACTGGNGAGACTGGCAGTATCTTTCCCACTCGCCCCCAACGCGTTTGCTGCTCCCTACCTCATAGTAGGCACAGACTACACCGGCTATGCTGTAGTCAACAGCTGTATCAGTTTCGGCTTGTTCAATTTAAGTAAGTAAAACCTGAGCAGTTTCTTATTAAATTCTAATGCAGCTGGCTTAGCTGGCAAACTCGCGGTAACTTTCCCACACGCACCTAGTGGGTTTGCTGCTCGGCTTTTGCAATTTGAGTGAATTTAATTGAAAAAATAACGTAAGTATACAGGGTATAAGGAAGATCGCTTTTAGAATGGGTCAAGCAGATAATGAGTGCAACCCAGTATCTACCTATCCGTTCGAGGTGTTGTATTGTTAATTACTTAGTCCCGACTATTTTGTCAATAAACACGATTCGATTAACAATCAATTTAAAAGTACCTATGCTGAAATAACTCACCTAATCATCGATACAGCTCAGTGTGGTTCGTAAATTGCTCATCATTTTATAGTAGGAATTACATTTTGCTGTGTCATTTGAGATAATAATTCGCAGTACCTAATATATTTTTTATTCTAATTTAATTTAATTGCTTTTGTATTTATATTATGTCAGCGAAAACAACTGATCTTACATCGATTTCTATTGGCAGTCAACAATAATTGCCCTGGCAGTGTGTGGGAGTGGGAGAATTATTCTAACGTACCTATCAACAGCCGTTTACAATCCACTGCTGGCATAAGAGCCTCCACCTCCACTTTAGTGGAGTATTCATCATCATCATCATTTCAGCCATAGGACGTCCACTGCTGAACATAGGCCTCCCCCAGTGACTTCCACATCGCACGGTTGGTAGCGGCACAGTAGACAAATCTATACATACTGTGGTAGCGGCCTGCATCCAGCGCCTTCCTGCTACCTTATCAGGTCGTCGGTCCACCTTGTGGGTGGACGTCCCACACTGCGTTTTCCGGTACGTGGCCTCCACTCCGATCCTTGCTGCCCCATCGGCCGTCAGTTCTGCGTACTATGTGCCCTGCCCATTGCCACTTCAGCTTGCTAATCCGTGCTTTAGTGGAGTATTTTACTATAATCTTCACGTTTGTCAGGCGGGTCGGAGATCGCTGTTTCCTACCTATCTACTGCTATTTAATAAATGTATCTCCTTTCATTCCTTCCAGGCTACGCGTGGATATTAACGAGAGACCAGAACCCTTCAGATTCAGTTATGCAAGCCGCGTACGACGTCGTCGATAAAAATGGAATAGCCAGAAAATACTTCTTGAAAACCGACCAGACTGATTGCGATTCATCTTGAATAATCCAAATAATGTTTATATGCATTTAGCTCGAAGACAAAGATAGCAATTTTATTTAGTACCAAACTAAAAAGTGATTTAAAATTACTGTTTATTTAATTATTATTATTTATTAATATTATTTACATTATTATAAGATGACGAGAAAAAGTTGGATTTTATTTTTCTACGTTTGCCTGACAACTAGAAAATATTTTTTCAGTTGTCACTTGTAAACATTACACACAAGAGTACACGTAAGATACCTTCTGGCAAATAAATAGAGGCAAACAGGATTTTAAAAATATTTTTCTTACCTTGCAACTGCAACTCAGCTCTGTCTCCGTATCACGTTTGAACAAATCGCGAAGTACCTACACTAACACAGAACACTATATTTTCACAGTATTATTAGGATGTCTTACAATTCCACACTTTCAACATTGTTGTTACTTTCAGCGTCGGACTGGCCATACAGTCGGGGTGGCATTTGCCAGCCGGGCCCCAGCCTGCGCGGGCCCCCCACGGCCTGGGTTGCGGGGCATGCGGCAACCGTAGCACAGGGGACCCGCGCAGCGTGGCCCCTGTGCTACGGTTGCCCGCGTGCATGTCTCGGAAACTATGCGTCGTACAAAAAAATTGTACAGTCATAATTTGTAGAAAATTGCTTTGCCTACAAATATGTTAATATAAATTTTTGCCTTAAATTAAAGATTGAAGAAGTTACAAGCAAAAAAAATCCTTTTTNACGAATTTTAAAGCAGATTTTTTTCAAAAAGTATCATTTTTTATTATTTGTTGGCATTTTCTGAGTATTTTATGTATTTTTTTAGTATCGTCTGTTATTTAGCATTATTACTGTTTTTACAGGATATACCTCTTAATTTAAAAGTTATTACGTTTTCTTTACAATAGGTAAGTAATTGGAAGAAAAAAAAATCATTAATTTTTTTTTTTAAAATCTAAAAAAAATTTTGACCTGTTTTTTGTCGATAAAAATAGATCTAGTTTCACCTAATTTCATATGTGCACTTTATCGTAACTCACACTGTATTAAATACAGAATCGGATCTAATCAAGGATTACATAAACAGCAGCTTTTACGATCGAGTCATTAACAGCTTATCTGAAAGTTCTCCTGTTTTAAAAAAAATGTTGATTGGCTAGCTTTATATTATTATTTGTTATTAGTAAATACCTACTTATTATTTTACTTTATTTTAGTATTGTAATAAATTTGATACAGTTTGTTTATCTACATTTGTGTATCTCAGTATTTTTCGATAGTATCCCATCACCATGATCTAGTCTAAGGCCTCGGATTGCTATCAGCCACCCGGGCCCTTCCGGCCCAGTCCGACCCTGGTTACTTTCTAGCACATAAAACTTTACTACGAATGCACACCATACAATTCAAAGAACCGAAAAGCGTTTTAATAAAAATACCGACGGCGGCCATACTTTTTGAAATCTTTTGTAAATGTACCGATGAATACTGTAAGCCAACCAATCACAGACCGTGAATGTTGCGACCTCTAGTGAAAAATTTCAGCAAACTTAAACAGTTCCTAATTCGAAAATTTTGAACAAGGCGTAATATATACAGCTTGAGTATGAAGATTATTCGAGGAACCATATTTTATTGCATTTAAAAAAAGAATATTGTAGTAGGAACAGACCACACCACAGGTTGTGGTCTGTGGTAGTAGGTAACGGGTTAGTTCCGACAACTTTTAGGTCTTATAATGCATAAAAATAAAATAAGATGGAGTAACTTAAATAAATATTTTATAAAGATATTTTATCTACCTACTACATAATAACGGTTAAATAAAATTACACACAATAACAAAACTTATTTATTTAACGTTGTGTAAGAAAGGATGGATAGAAAATGTTCACAACAATAGGTACATACAGCATAACTATCTACAACTTAAATAAATTAAAGCCTTTTGAAGTATGCTATTTTCATAATACAAAAGTTAATAATGCGTAGAAATTAAAACCTATGTCTCATATTTTACAAAATTTTAACTTTATCTTCGTTTTTATGTTTTACTGTATCTGTGAAAGCGTTAAAATATAATAATTTAGAACTCTAAACCGTTTGCAGGACCAAAATAAGCTCTAAATGTATAAAGCAGCCTAATTTAATCAATTCCAAACTGCATTATGCGCCTGATTCCCATTTGAAGTTCAGATATTTTTTACGAAACGATCTGGCTACTTATTGGTGAAACAGATCCCAAAATGATTCAAGTTACTTCTTCGGGACTGAAGGTTGGTGAGTTCTAGGTTGGCGTGCTATCATCTGAATGCCAGCTCTTCCTATGCTCGTTTATGGCTTCAGCATAAGTGGGAGGTGGTGGTAGATTGTCACTTTTAGTCTTGGAAGGCTTTGCAGGGACAGCTAGACGGTCTTCTTCAGGTTCCTCGGGAATAGAGTCCCTCCTTCTTGGGTCAAACTCTGAGAGCACAGGCTGAGAAATGTTGTTGCGTTGAGTTAGTCCCACCAACGCCAGTTTGGGGGCGCTGTGAGCTTGCTGAAAGTAACAACCAACAAACTTATCATCTGAAGAAAAGTTACAACAAAAGTTAGTGAGCATTGTTGAAAAAAACAACCAAGAAACTTATCATCTGAATTTTTTTTACAACAAATGTGGGCAAAATAGTGAAAACATTAACAATCTTAATCGAAATTTAACTAAACCCTGTCGTAAATTACAAGTACCACGTCATAATCTAGAGACTGACAGCGCAAATAGTGAAATTGCAAGGTTTCCGACTATTTACTACTGAATTATGTGACGGTATTTATAGTAAAGACAATGTTTCCTTTCGTTTCGATAAAAGGAACTTGAACCTGAAATCGTGATAAGATACCCTTGAAGATGAACATTGTAATGTGTTAATTATTTATCATTACCTACAGACCTTGGTTTTTGTAGGCTTAATTATAGTATATTCTAGAATCATTCTCGAAGATTCATCCCAAAATACCATAGTATACATATTTTGGAGTGGTTGACATTTGCAAAAAAACATACAAAAGTGAGAATTAAAAGTCTGCCCAACACCCTCACTCACTTTGTGGTCATTTGAAATCATGTGTGTGGTTTTCATTAACAATAGGTTAAATAGTCTCATTAAGTCTAAAGGGTAGTTATAGTTTTAGTCATGTGCCATGAAAAATTATGTAATGGGTTGAGCCAGGAATACTAATTTGGGATGAGTGAAGAAATGGGTCGAGTTGTCATGGGTCGAATACGCAATAACCCGAAATACAGGATGTTAGGTAAATGGGTATATGAGCCGACACTAGCCCTAGTTAACATGGGCATATAAATGGTATGGTAAAGTCAGAAAACTGATATCTTCATTTACTGATTACCCATTTACCTAACATCCTGTATTATTCTGAACAATATATAAAATTATAAATCAATTGACGAGAATTTGATGAACGTCTTTAGTATCTAATCTAACTACCTATAATTCTCTGTCATACAAACTTATTTTACAAAACTTCTTACCTTATAATGATACTGGTGTCTGTTAGAGAAAGACAGAACGGGGTTGGATATGTGGCTCTTGGTGTTCTGGTGGTTGATCTCCAGAGCTGATCTGAGTAGGTCGACCTTAGAGGCGGAGCCTTCGTAGTTGCTCCCGCGCCGCTGTGCGTTGCTGCCACTCCGACTTCGGCACGGCTCATTTATGTCACCCTGGGAGAACTGAAAGGAAAATTTATATAAATACTGAGTTAAAAGAATATAAAAGGAAAAAAAGCAGCGGTAAAGCGCTGGGACTTCAATAACTGGCAATACGATGCAATAGGGACTGCCAGAGATCTTGGATTCGATTCCTAGGGGAACCAAAATTGTCTGCTCGATTTGGTTGATAGTAAAACTTGTTCTAAATTCATCTGGCTAACTACCACCATCTTACCTAAGTCTGTCTGTATCCATAAAAAAAATGTAAACAGCATTGTTAAACTGAATCGGTGGTCTGATCAATAACTTTTTACCAAAATAGATGCAGGCTTCCCCTTTTTGGTCAAAAAATAACTTTAAGGCCCAGTTTTTTGATTCATAGTTAAAATAACAAATTGTTAAATTTTGCTACTAATGGTTAAATATTAACAAAATGTTAACTAAAAGTTAAAAAATGTACTAAAAGTCAAGCTAACCATTGTTCGAAAAACATTTTTTTCTGATATTTAACCACTTGTCATTTGACATCTGTCAAATTTGACCATTGGTTATTTTAACTACGAATCAAAAAACCGGGCCTTAGTCGACTTCAGATGAACACGACATGCAGCTGGTTGATACTTGATACTGCACTTTAGTAAACAAATTTTCTTACCCTAGAACGAGAGCCTCTTGGCAGAGAGTGTAGAGAACCCAAAGGATTGAAGCGTGTGATCATGTGCAGTCTTTCAAGGGATATCATGGTTTCAGCATCTTTCCGCAGCGGTTCTCCATTCAGCTTGTCACCTTCTCCACTTTCTAAAAGACAATCACATTAAAAAAAAACGATTATTTCAAACATCATCAAGTTTTTGTGAGCCGACTCCAAATATTGATAAAGGTCTAGATTTCTAGAAGGAAGAAGAAGAAAGTATTTATGCCTCCTGAAAATTTCATTTTCTGGCGATATAAGTTATTATTTGGTTTATTTGATGTTTCGTATATAACGCTTTCAGTACCTCTAGTACGAAAAACTTTCGAGTTCGTTTCGTTTGCGTATTCAAAGTGTCATCGAAAAATTTTGTATGAAAAATTAAACAGCGCCCCCTATATTATAGCCGCCCTAGGGGGCGCTGTTTAATTTTTCATACAAAATTTTTCGATGACACTTTGAATACGCAAACGAAACGAACTCGAAAGTTTTTCGTACTAGAGGTACAGGATTGGTTCTTTACCTGTGTCCTGGTCGCACGCATCTTCCATCCCTGTCATGTTGATGTGCCTCAGCCAGAAGTAATGCAAGAGGCCATAAAGCACACCCCCAAGGAATGCTATTAAGCCCATGTAGCGGAACGCTTCTCTTGTTCCAAGGGTTGCAATGAGGAGACCACCTCCAAAACTGCCACTGCCTCTTCCTGAGAAATAAATTTAAATTGATTTAAAGATCTTAAAATCTGCTTACTAAAATTCATTTTAAATCAGCAAACTAAAATGTATTTTAAGTGTAACTATAAAATTCTTGATACAAAATCGCCAGATGTTGACTTGATCTTAAACGAAGATACATGGTAAATAAGACAAATTAATGATATGTTTGTTTAGTCCTTGTTTTGGAAGTGACGTTAATGTTTTGGTTTTTTTTTATATTATGATTAACTGGTAGTGGATCGCTTTTCAACATTGTATCAAATCAAATCATAATTAGTAGCTTTCTGTCACTATTATTGTCTTTCCTTGTTTAATTTTCGTCTTACATTGTGACGTAAACGTTATCTACTTCGCTGCCAGATTACATTTAACGCCTACTAATCGTAAAACAAATTATCATATTGTTTCGTATAGATTTTTCAATGTTTGCAATAGGATTCTTTGAAGAGTTTTATCGTTTTCATTTTTATTATTTACGTTCTGTGGGAGCTGCACTCATATAGCTTTACTTTGATTTGACTGTGAAGTCAAGTAAAGTAAGTGCCAAGTAAATTTTTCATTTTAATTGTCTTTTATTACCTTAGTTTAGGAAGGAGAATTTCTTTAATAGTTAATTTCATTATTTCTATCAAGATGAACTCCTCTCCTACACAACTTTGTGTGTGTTGTGTCGTTACCATACAAATTGATAGTTGTGAACTTGTATTTGTATGTCTACTATTACACACAGACAGCCCCTTTATCATTATTTTATTTACCGCTATTAGAGACGCTATTGTTTGGAACGCTATTAAAACTGAGGAGCAGAGATCAAATTAGTCTAATCTGATTGTTTTACTTATCGGTTTTAGAAACTCTGTTGTTTGAAACCCTAGTAATTGAGGAGTAGATATCAATTTAATTTAATTTATTGATATCTATCTCTACATTTACTCACCAAGACTGAAATGCGCCATCCCTAGAACTCCGATCAGTGTCGCCAGCAGACTCTTCGGAGCAAGCATGGCGCAGTACGTCGCCGCCGCCACCCACATCAAATGCACTGACAATGACTCCATAGCTTCAAAGGGGAAACACCACCAGGAGTTCCTGGAATGTTACAGTGAAAATGTTAAATGATCATCCCAACTAATCCCAACTAATATTATAAATGCGAAAGTAACTCTGTCTGTCTGTCTGTCTGTTACGCTTTCCCGCTTAAACTTCGCAACCGATTTTGATGAAATTTGGCATAGAGATAGTTTGAGTCCCGGGAAAGAACATAGGATAGTTTTTATCCCGGTTTTTGAAACAGGGACGCGCGCGATAAAGTTTTTCTGTGACAGACAAAATTCCACGCGGGCGAAGCCGCGGGCGGAAAACTATTATCATATAATCAGGAGGTGCTTAAATAATAAATGCAGCGTTTGCTCCCAAAAATTTTAGTTGGTTTAGATTAGACCAATCACAGGATAGAAAATAATTATACTAGAATTTGAATCGAGTTTTAAGTGTCTAATGGCCGTTTTCACCATCAATCCCTAATTTTTAAGTGGCCCCTTTGCTAACACATAACAGGAGTTTTGTTTTCATAGGGGTCACTTAAAAATTAGGGATTGATGGTGAAAACAGGCATAAGTCCGTAATAGGTCTTTGTCGGTCAAGTCAATGTAATAAAACCTTAGCGCCATTTTACAGTTCCTAATCCAACGATTTATGAAGTACTCGTTGCCCTACTCAAGTACTCCCACGTAGTATCATTGTGCTCATAAACTTGACAATGCAGCGTCGTTGTAAATACATTAATCCTGCAAATGCTGTTTTAATGGAAAAGGACGAATACAAGCAACTTTTTATTAGTAGACAAACCGATGAAAAGTTCTTAAACGTGACTAAACTGAGTCTAATTTCGCTTACCCAATGTTCAAACCGGCTAATGATAGGTACCTGTCTTGAAACAAACTTTATCAATGCAATGATTAAGGCGGCCACTTAGCCGCTTTTGACGAGCACCAGACTACCTACCTATACCACGTGAGATTGTGAGTTTAGACACCGCTAGGACCAAGTATTAGTGCAGCTGCACTCTTACCCAAAGTAAAAGACTCGAAGTTATAGTCGCCTTAGTAAAAACTCTACTCAGTTTGGAGCTAAAACGGGACAATTCCCACCTCTCGTTCCCACCGCTGCAACTCCTGTGTAGCCAGGATCTACAGCTTGACCGCCAATGAAAACCCAACCAGTGAAGGTCAAGTTTGTCCCGGGGGCAAATTAAACTGTCATTGGACCCGCAACGAAATTAATCAGAAGAACATAGGAGGAGTTCGAAGTTAAGGTCAGTTTGGAGCATTGATAGAAACAAGTTATTATGATCGTTCCACTNAAAGACGCGGCGGTACAATATACCGAACTCTCCCCTAATAAATGCAGCGTTTGCTCCCAAAAATTTTAGTTGGTTTACATTAGACCAATCACAGGATAGAAAATATACTAGAATTCGAATCGAGTTTTAAGTGTCTAATGGCCGTTTTCACCATCAATCCCTAATTTTTAAGTGGCCCCTTTGCTAACACATAACAGGAGTTTTGTTTTCATAGGGGTCACTTAAAAATTAGGGATTGATTGTAAAAACAGGCATAAGTCCGTAATAGGTCTTTGTCGGTCAAGTCAATGTAATAAAACCTTAGCGCCATTTTACAGTTCCTAATCCAACGATTTATGAAGTAGGTACTCGTTGCTCTACTCAAGTACTCCCACGTAGTATCATTGTGCTCACAAACTTGACAATGCAGCGTCGTTGTAAATACATTAATCCTGCAAATGCTGTTTTAATGGAAAAGGACGAATACAAGCAACTTTTTATTAGTAGAAAACTCTTCCAGACACTAACTGCAGTGAACTAAAATTTATGACGATTACGTTATGAAAAGTTCTTTAAACATAACTAAACTGAGTCTAATTTCGCTTACCCAAATGTTCAAACTGGCTAATGATAGGTAGGTACCTACCTTGGAACAAACTTTATCAATGCCATGATTAAGGCGACCACTTGGCCGCTTTGGACGAGCACCAAACTACCTACCTATACCAAGTGTGATTGTGAGTTTAGACACCGCTTAGGGGCAAGTATTAGTGCAGCTGCACTCTTACCCAGAGTAAATGACTCGAAGTGATAGTCGCCATAGTAAAAACTCTACACAGTTTGGAGCTAACACGGGACTATTCCCACCTCTCGTTCCCACCGCTGCAACTCCTGTGTAGCCAGGATCTACAGCTTGACCGCCAATGAAAACCCAACCAGTGAAGGCCAAGTCTGTCCCGGGGGAAAGTTAAACTGTCATTGGACCCGCAACGAAATTAATCAGAAGAACATACGAGTAGGAGGAGTTCGAAGTTAAGGTCAGTTTGGAGCTAGACATTGATAGAAACAACTTATTATGACCGTTCCACTTACTCAATGAAAGAATATCCGACGAGCCTGGCCGCATGCGAGAAGAAGGCTACAATGATGACGTTGACGTGGCCGATCCTCGCCGTGATGGCGTCCGCTCCATAAAGGAACGGGATGCTGCTCAGAGTGCCCACGGTCACGGTTATTCCTGTACAGACACTCATGTAATGACTCAAGGACTGATCGCAGATAGCCCGTGGGAAGATGAAGAGATTGCAGCCTGATTGTAATAGACGTACGTGACGTCAGACTACCGGGTAAGTGATTATTTAATCTGGTGCATAGAACATTGGTAATGGCTTTGATTTTATCGTTGAAGTGCATCTACGCAATTTTTGTAGTATGATACGTCAAGAACGCACATTAGAATGTTGCCTCGTGAATTTATTTCAATGTATCTAGTATAAAAAGAATAAGATATAAGTTAGAATTTAATTTAACTATAACTTACCTAATAAGAAATTTGGTGCGCCCAATTCTTTCAAATAAATGAAGAGGTAAGACTCGATGAATCCCCAAAAGTTGCCCAAAGCAAAAAGGAAGAAAATGAAAATTATAATATGGGGCATCTTGATAATGTTAATCAAATCTCTCATCAAGTTATCAGCTGGCAACTTCGCTCCAAGTGGCATCACGGCAACTGTTAATGCTGATATCAAAAGTAAAGCATCATACGTGTAGAATGCAGCTGAATAGTCAGTGTATCCTGCAATCGAGAAGTCGATGTAAACATTAAGTTTACTATTGACACAATAGATAACGATTATGAGATGCCACGCCGCATCGTACTCACCGACTTGTTTACTCCTCATATCTATAAGCATGCCTGTGATGGGCGAGAATATGGCCATACCAATACTAGAAAACAATCTCTCCCTCCCAAAATCACCGCCGTATTTCTGTATCATTGTCAGCGCTATCGGATCCATGATGGTCACACCAGCAGACAACATTATAGTGCCCATGAATCTCAGGAAAAAGTAAATGTAGAACGTCTTATCATCGCTTTCCTTATAATCCGGTGGACATATCTCGGGCCCGCCTCTCCTGTAATATTCCAATCATAATTTACTTTTAGATATCTACCATTTGAGTAAACTAGATAAACATGTTAGTTGACAAATAACATTAGTGATACAATCAAATATACTTGACACTTGCATATCCCGTGCGTGTGCACTGTGCACTGATAGTAAAGGTTTCACTCACCTAAAATCACACTTTTGGACCATGCAGTCGGCTGAGAGTATTTCAAGACGTTGTTGAGACAGTTTAGTCATATTATGCAACATCACAAGACCTCCACACCTTAGATCTTCTTTGTCTAACGCTGTTATGTTTACGCCTTGAGCTATCAAAAGTTTCTCGCCAAATCTAGATCTAAAGTCCGTTACTGGATCATCTTCGTCCTAAAAATTAATGGTACACTTTGATTTTGTACATTTTATGCTAAATGTGTGTTTATACAGGGTGTTAGGTATATGGGTATATGAGCCGACACTAGCCCATGTTCACATGGTCATATAAATGGTATGGTGAAATCAGAAAATTGATATCTTCATTTTAATTATTTTAATTTTCATACAAATCGGATTTTATAAAATTTATTTTGTATGAAAATTAAAAAAATTAAAATGATGATATCAAATTTCTGACTTCACCATACCATTTATATGCCCATGTTAACATGGGCTAGTGCCGGCTCATATACCCATTTACCTAACACCCTGTATATTTACTTACACGTTCCATTTCAATGCCAAGTTGCTCTTTCGGCTCCCCTAGATCATCGTGAACTTCTATGAGGAAAAACGCTGCATCATTGAAATCATCTTCTTCATCTTCTGTCATATTGAGAAAACTGAAAATAAAAACAGTAAGAATAGGTATTCATAAATGCAAAAGTCTTAACTAAATAATTCAAAGAAAATTATATTGTTTTTCGGAAGGCTTATAAACAACGTTACAAATCATTTGATGTTAACTCGGATGTCAACAGCAATAAAACGTTATCACGATTACTAAGATCATTACGAGAAAAATTACGCATCCTTTTGTTACACAAATGCGTTCTGGTATTTGAATAATATGAAACAAATATTTACTTAAGTGCTATCTTATGGCTGATGTGAAAATCCAGGTCGTCTTTGTCATCATCTTCAGCTGGCTCCGTAGCTGGAGGATCGGTAGGCCTGGTTAACTTGCAATGGTCTACGCAGCGGTCCAAAACGAAATCCACCGTCTCGTCTTCATCAGGACACTCTCTGCTAGGACATGGACTCCACCATATCTAAAAACAAAGGAACAATACAAATATTGTATCATCTGGCATCAAACAGCTCGACTCTACAATTCATACCGAAAGATATTACGTACATCCTTGTACATTAAAAAACCAACATTGATGAAGTAATGTAAAACCACACAACTCAAGGTTGTCAGTCCAATATGCATATACCTCGCTTAATTCCCTTAACTAATTCAAACAAACGGACTTACGTTATGACACTGGCTAATTCGCCCTGGGGCCGGATGACGGCGATTTGCTCAAATTCTTAGAGGAGTCTGGGTTGGCTCGTGACTAAACAACGAGGGACAATGCGTTTAGAGCAAGTTTCGAAACAAATCTATAAATATTCTGTACCTCGACGCTGTTCGTGATCGGATGCCGCATGACGTACGCCGATGGCATCACCCCTGGCGTCTCCTGGTGCGGAATCAGCAGCAGCGAGTGGTGAAAACCGGCATTCAAAATGAGAGCAGTGATCACCACCGGTTTGTATTCTCCAAAGCGATCAACTAGGAACCCTAAAACACATTTATCAATCAGCATCTTTATAAAAGCATCTTGGAAAATGGATTTTTTTTATTACTTACCAGTAACGGGAGGACTCAAAAAAGTTGTGAACGGCAATGCTAAATAAACAAAAGAAATCTCCGGCACGGTTAGTCCAATACTTTGCATATGGATCGTCAAGTACGGTAGCAAAGAAGCAGTTGCTCCATACATCACAAAGAGTGTCACTTTCAGCATGATGAGGTTCGGGTTGATCCGCATCCTGACCATCAGGCGGGCGACCCAGCCCAGCTCCTCGTCGCTGTCTCCCTCCATGGTCTGGTCGTCGTCGCTCTTCTTCGAATCGTCCTGTGTCTTGGCCATAGTGCGTGCACACTCACATTTTCATGATAAACAATTCAGGTGTAACTTCGTGTGATATGTCTTATCGACTGGCGGTCGCGTACGAAAGCCTGCGTGCGCGGCGACTGTTTATTTAGGCTCGAGTCCTAGATTGTTGTATTTGAAAACGGATTTGTGGCTGAGCCCGGAGCCAGTGGGAGAGCCGTGGAGGTTCCCGAGCTCCCGAGCGACTGCGGCGCGGGCAGCCCGCGGCGGGCGAGCGGACATCAATTTACAAATAATAGCAAATTACCTTCGTTTAAGAAGTGTCACGCCGATTGGTGGGGATGCTGGCTAAATCGGCTGACGATCTGGAGACCTTGCGCGTAATAGCCGGGGTCGGGGCGCTCCTGCATCTGCGCCTTAGTTCCCTAGGAAGGCGCGACTCGCGAAATACCGCGAACATTTCGCTGCCACGTACTTTATTGTGAGTTTTATTTTATTTCTTACAATTTTATTTCTTAAAATTATTTACACCGTTTAACCGTTATGGCAAACATTTCATTTCAACAGTTAATACAACATACCTACATACTTAGATTCCGTTTAACTTAGCATCAAACAAAGGAAGTTGCAAATAATTTAGATAGATTATTTCATCTTCTATCTAGAGTCTAGATAGGTATATCTTCTGAAGTATTTCTGAAGAAATTTATCTTCTGGATACTTTAGCATAAAAAAACTAAATTAACAGTTTTTAAACTAGGCTAGAAAATAAAATAAAAACGGTAGGTATACCATCAGTCTAATTTTTAAACTGCTTCATATGGAGTACAATAGGTGTAGAAAAATCAAAAAATCGCGCATAGGTATGTAAATCACAATAATAACCTGGGAACAACGTAACTTACCGATTTTATTTGATTTTATCCTTTAGCTACAATTTTTCAGATTTACATTTCACGAAAGCCAAATACTGTTTGGAAATTTCAGTAAAACATTGTTTTCAACCGACTTGAAAAAAGTTAGTTTTATAAAATCCAAATAATTTAAAAACATAACCTACCTTTTGGCGCAGTCGGGTAAAAAAAAGTTTATCATCCGTTTACAAAATTTTGGTCAAATTGAATAGTCTTAATTTACTACCAACCTTAGTGGTTTGTAGTAAATTGAGACTTTTAAAATTATACAATTTGACAATCGTAAAATTTTTCCTTTAAATAATTTAATTAGGTATTAGGACAAATTATACACCATGATTCATTGATCCTACTAATATTATAAAGGTGGTGGTGTGAAAAAACTCAGTAAAACTCATTTATTTCTGTAAGTAGGCTTTAGAAAAGCACTTTTACTCTTTCACGCAAAAACGTGGATGTTTGTTACTCTTTCACGCAAAAACTACTGAACGGATTTGGTTGAAACTTTACAGTATTATTATTTGTAACCCAGATTAACATATAGGCTATAATTTATGCGAATCTGTGGCACAAAATTTCACGCGGGTGTAAGCCGCGGGCAAAAGCTAGTACACAATAATTTTCTGTTCTCAATACCAAGTCGTTGCCAAAATAAAAGAAGAAGAAGAAGAAGAATAATTTTCTGCCACTTTCATAGTCAATCTTTAGACCAAAGAGAAAATTAGAGTAGGTAATTTGTGTTTTGGATCAAAGGTTGAGTAGGAGAGAATGTCTCTTGCCGCTTTAAGTTCGCTAAGTAAAGTTTTCCACATCAAATAAAGTTCACTTACTTATGTATGTATTTTCTCATAAAATAGGTACTACTATTTTGGATTAGAATGACATGAAAATTTTATTTTTGATTTACAAACAAATACCTACTTATATTTACCTACTTACCTCGGAACACAAAAACGTTACTATTTTATTTTTATCTTAAATAATTTTTTTTTTCTTCTTTCTGGCTCTCGCGGATTAATTAATATTTAATTAACAATAAGGACATTAATATCACAGATTAGACAGTAAATCTTATAAATCATAAAAGTTTTTCTCTTTTTCATAACATTGAAGCTATTTACGTATAGACTGCCATCTTGCGGCGGTTTGTAACAGCATTTGATTATAAAAAGCAAGCGGGCGTCATCTATCGCGGAATAGTCAAAACTTTTAGTAACCTTACAAACTGTGACGTAAGGCAGATAGAGCGTGACGTAGCTATTAATAGTATTTTTTTCCACTATTTATGCGCAATATTTTATCATTTTATAACGATACCAAATGAATGAAAAAGTGAGTAATACCTTAAATAATTTAAATCTTTCAACTCAAACCTGTATTAACATACATTTCTGTTCAAAAATGATTAAAACAGGTGAGTTCTATGACTATCAGCTATTGGTTTCTGTTTTTCATTCATCAAATTAATACCTACAGTATGTCGTCACTAATTAAATGTTGTATGATATGCATTATCATGTCTATAAATAACTAATTATAATTCAAAAAGAAGTAAATAACTATTAAACTGTTCGTTTCGTGATAATTTTCCACAACATGTAATGTTTCACATGATTTAAGATATTTCTTGATTCGTCACTCAATTAACGTTTTAAACTAATTAAATTTTGTATTATAATTCAAAGTAAACTAATAAAATTTGAATTGTTTTTATTTTTTCTTGCATTTCTTACAAAATAAAATCGAGTACAGATTTATAAAGCGACAGCTGCGCCACCTATAAAAAGGTTTCGTCAACTGCCATCTAGCGACCATAGATAGAAACTAGCCATCAGAATTCTAGATTGTCTATAGTAGAGATGGGTTANGCGCATAAATGGCCGCCATGTTGCTGCCGTCTGAAAGATGTTCGCAACTGTGTGTGTTTACTAATGAATTTTAAGACTATAAATAGTTAAATTACTGTGTTTGTGAAATTGTGAGTGTACAATGGTTTTATATTTCTTATATTGCTGTGTTTGAAAAGTCAATCAGATGTCTCTGAAGCCAATAAACAGTGAAATTTTCTTTAGATAGTCACTCGATTCGGACGGCATAATGGCTGACAATCTGATTCAAAAGTCACATAAAACTAGTGAGAAAAACAAGTATAACAACGTTGTTCATCGTACGACGAGCGAATCTCTTCGGCTGAACGAGTCAGAGAAGGGAATGACTCACCCAACAACTCTTCAAGCCGCCCATAACCCAAGGAAAATATCTTCGTTTCAGATCACCAGTGTGACGGTTGGTTCTCGAGTGAGCACTGATGCTGGAGAGGACTCAGCCGACGATCTTGATGAATCTCACACCGACGACATCTCTCGCGTGACTGATATCGAGAATGAGACCCCCAGTTATTCTGAAGACACCTTCTCGAAGGACGATGTGTTTTATAACGCGTCGAGTGCATCACTAGGTTGTGCCCCTGTTATCCCGACTAGCTCCCAGTACGGACTAGCTATCGTCGGTCAGGACAACAACACCAACCAAATAGGAGGAGCAGTGCCAAATAGTAATAATTCAGAAGTAAGTGACATGCATGTTAGTGTCACGAATGCCGGAACGGGCAGCATCATTAATCTCATAGGAAATGCGAAACCCCAGGAAGGTATGAAAGAGATACAAGAACATGTTAGGAATGAACGGTTTAAAGTTGTGAAAATAGAGAGCACAGAACCTTTCCGAAGGGGTCGGTGGATGTGTATGGACTACCTAGATCATACAACTACTCCGCAAAATGCACCTATTACTTTGAATAATAACTTGGACATCACAGATCCTAACTTGCAAGCTCCTGATAGTGGTGTTGTAATAAATGATTGCCAGCATGATGAGATGTCAAACGATTTGACAAACAAAGGGCCTATGGATCTACAGGGTAATCCCCCCGTGCAGCAGTTGGAACAGACTATACAGAAACAGTTCCCTATGGCTTCCCCTGGGCAGTCGTTGACCCAGCCGCTAAATGTAGTGCAACAGCAAATGCCTGTAGCTCAGTCAGTGTCTGTACAGTCACCTCCGTTAGAAATGCCACAGCAGATGCCAAACCAAAACATGCCGCAAGCGCAGCAAGTGGGCCAGCAACATCCACAGAGTATGACTCACATCACAATGCAGAACGCACCACAGACTCACCCACAAGCTCCGCAACAGCAGCAAGTGCAACAAATCCCTCAGAGCTTCCCTCAACATCAACTACAGCAAGTGATCGCCCAGTCCCAGGGTATACCCATGCAACAAATACCAATGCATCAGCAAATGCCGCAACAGATGCAACAGATACCTAATCAACAAATGCAACAGATGAATCAGCATATTCCTCAGCCTCAGATGACTAATATGCAGATGCAGCAACAGTTGCCGCAAATGCAGGCTATGCAAAACCAAGGACAAATGTCGCAAGTGGCTAGTCAACAACCCCAGATGACGCAAATGCAATTGCAGCAGATGCAAGGCCAACCGAACCCGCAACAGATTCATATGCAACAAGCGCAGATCCCTAATATGGGTCAGGGACATCACTTGCAGGGACAGCAGTCTATGGGAGCACAGCAGCAACTGCAACAAATACAGGCATTGCAAAATCAACAGATACCAAATCACATACAGCAAATGCAAATGCCTACTCAGCAGCAAATTCCACAGATGCAAACTCAGATGCATCAAATACCAACTCAGCCGCAGCAGTCTGTTGTACCAGGAATGCATCCTCAAATGTCCCAGCAGGGCATGTCGGCTGTGCAGCCTCAATATAACCAAGCTGTTAACCAGCAATCTAATCCGCAGACGATGATAAGTGCTACTTTACCATCATCTCAGCAACCAATGGTTCAAACACAGCACAATGTTCCACAGTTCCACACACAACAGCCTCAGATGAGTCAGCAGGGCCAAACATTACCCCAGGAGGTGCTCACAAGTATTGTTACATCTCAGCAGGGTGCAACTCTGCCTAGTAACCTCCAGCCGATGGCCTCTCAACCGCAGGGCTCTACATTGCCAGCGAATCTCCAAAGCCTTAACCAGCAGCAAGCTCCTGTTCATACGATGGCACCGCAGCAAGGCACAGTACCGCAAGGGAACATACAAATGATGACCACAGCCCCGCAGAATATGCAGATGACTCTAGACGGGAATCAGCCTAGTATGCAGATACCCGCCTCAGATCCTATATTCATGCAGCCGGCGAATGTGGGTCAGCAGATGCCTGTTGGGCAGCATATGGCGCAGCAGAATATGTTACCGCAGCAAGTTAGTGGACAAGGGCAGATACAGTATGTGCCGAGCCAGGCGGTGCCGCAGGTGTCGATGGCTCACCAGAACATTCCCATGTCGATGCAGCAGAATATGCCAGTCGGGATGGGCGGCGGGGTTCACGCCAACGTGGTGCAATCTCAGACGAGTATGGGGCTGGGTTACGGCGGCGTGGTGCCGGTGATGTCTCAGAGTAGTGTCGCGCCAGTGGAAGCGACTGTCTCGGGGACTAACTCTCCGGTGGTGTCGTTGCCGGTTAGCTCGACGGCGTACGCTAACACGGCCCAACCTGGACATGACAATCAGGGCTTCGGTAGCCCAGTGAGTGCAGTGGTGTCGCATGCGATCAGTGGCGCCGTAATGAGCAATGTGAATGTGAGTGCGTGTGATAGTGTTGCCGCTGATGTGCCTGCAGACGGATTGCAGGCCGGAGACACTGGAGACGGGAAGGATGAGCCGCAGACCGTCCCACCTCCGGAGGATGAAAGGTGAGTTGTGTGAATAGTATTGATAGCTGAAAATCTATTAAGTTTAAAGTACTTCTAGCACTATTAAAATTTTTTGCTTGCTTCTTAATTTAATAACTTTTGCACAATTTTTATTTTACACTTTTACTCAAAATTCACAAAATATTATCTTAGCCAGTACTACTAGCTCTCAAAGTACTATATTTTAAACTTTATTGAGTCATTTTCTAATTATTATTTTTAAACTTAATTAAGATTTTTATGCTCAATACTTATATTCTGAATTAGGAATAGATTTTTCTTTGTAGTACTACTTTTTTTTTAAATTACTAAAACTTATTTTTAGTCTCATAATCAATATTATTAAGTTGATTAAAAAAAATTGTACCCAAGTATCTACTTGCAGTATTAGTAGTGTGGCTCACTAATAACTATTGCAATATTTTTTTTTTATAAACTATAAGTCAATGCAATACAGTATAAAGTTGCTAAAACACCAATTAGCTGAGAATATAAATTTAGGCCTGATTTTTCAATAGCTGGATAACTTTTAACTGAAGAATAAGTTTGGCATATTGACAGTTTTAGTATGGGAAATAAGTCAAAATGACAGTTCTATTCTTCAGTTAAAACTTAACCAACGATTGAAAAATCAGCCCTTAGTATAATAACCAACCAAATAAAATTTATCTGATGATTATTAAAATTATAAACCTGTCTAGGTTATAGGTATTTTATCAGATTTGTAGAATGATGGAAATATTAAGATAAGTGTTGTGTGCAATAATATGTAAAAATGCATTTTTTATTATTTGATGGTAATCACATTGGTATTGGTAAAATAATGCTTTAAATTTTAATGAATATCTGCCTCAACTTAAACATTATAGTTTAATCATTGAGTTATAATGTACTACGTACTAGAGAAGACATGTCAACTAGACTGTTTCTGGCACGCAAACAGGTCCATGGACCGAAATTCAATTAGTATGTGCTCAGCGGTTGCTGTGACAACACGCTTGAGTGCAGTTTTGTTTTTTGAAATATGCCATCCTATAGACGAAAATACTGTTCAAATAACTCCAGATACATATTAAGTAAAAATCAAGGAATGAAAGTTTACCATTAAGTTGTACATTTATGCACTTTAAAACATTAATTTAATTTTAATTTGTTAATTACAAGGCGTCACCGCGGCGGCAGCCATTTTACGAAAATTTCAAAGAATAAAAATCGCAGACTTGACACTGACGCATAAATTAGAATACGAAAGGGAGGTTAAATACAGCAATAAAAAGATTTTTTAAAAGATTATAAGCACTGTATTGCACAAATTACTAATAGTCCCGTCCAGCCCCTTGTGTTAAGCTAAATAAGCTTGAGTTACAGGTGGGCTCACACAATNAGTTTAATCATATTTTAAACAAATGATCAATTAGGCATATTGCCATGATAACCCTTTGATATATCAAAGTATTATGGTAGTACCCAGCAGGGTCATACTTCATTTTTGATATTCACAAAATATAAATTCTTAATGTGTCATAATATTGAAATTAGTTTCAACTTGTATTATTTATTCTTGTTGCAAGGATGGTGTTATTCAATATGCTCCTATTATAATTTATTTTCATATTTTTACTGTAATATGCTTCTTTTATTAAATTTTTCTGTCTCGTTTTCAAATAAAGCGGGAAACAACAGGCAGACTATCCTCTTACAAAGGGTTATGGAATTATTGTTCCTTGGGCTATGTTTAAGTATTCATGACCAGAGCTCTTCGTCTCCCAGAGGAGTTACAGCTGCAAAGCAAGCAATCCCGCATCTATTTGCGAAAATATCTCATCCGTAGACAATGGCGGTTGTTTTCGTTACGTTCGGACCGCGACTCGCACCGGCGAGCGGAATCCGACGTCCCTTTGATGCTGTTTATTTGCGCTTCGTCCTGCGACATAAATAGGTGGTTGACACGTACGGTGCATGGTGCGCGCCGGTATGCCGACGGTGACTCATGCGCAACGCACCCGAACTACGGCCCGATTGAAAAAACGACGAACGCGTTCGCTTTCTTTTTCGTCTGTCTGCTTGTTCTTCGCGCACCTTTTTTTCGAACCTGACATCCATGCTATATCCGTCGCGACTATCACGCTGCACCTTTTGTTACCACACGTGATACAACTACGTAGTTGCATTTGTCCTTGTGCCTACCCTATTTAGTGGCTACCTCAATTGCGTCGAGAAGATAAGACTGGAGGTCTTGTTTACTCGCACTAATTGATTTCGAAATCCAATCGCTTGCAATAACCGCATTCCTTTCGACCCTTAAACATAACCATGCGTTCATATTAAACACTTCCTCGTGTATTCATGACACGAAACCGCAAATGCAAAGAAGTCGAAACCGGCGCCGGCGCTGCGACGTCACTGGCGACGCTGGTAATCGAGTCGAGAATCGAAGGCCGCGAAACCTGAACCTTCCACTCGCTTCTGATCATAGACATCACTGTTCACCTAGAGTACAATCGACACTTATATCGAACAAAATACTGATAATTANTTAATTACTTGAGTATTTGCAAGAAAGAGGACTGATCTAATTTTACTTGCAGTTAGTGATGGGCCAACTCGGGAAAAACAAAACTCGATTTAACCCGAGTTAAAATCCACGTAACTCGGGTTGAACCCGAGTTACGTAACTCGAGTTAACTGGATGGACAAGTCAGTTTTTTACTTATTTTTACCAGTTTATTCCCTCAGATTCGTATTAACATTTAAAAACTAATCATTTATAATGTATTGGGAGAATCATACTAACTAAAGTAAGAAAGAAAAAATCATTTTTCAAAAACAGAACATAAAACACGAAAATCTATAACAATAACCGGCAGTTTAAAGTTAATTTCAAATAAACATAGTCTCAACACTCAAATGATCGGCAATCTTCGGTCCATGTCGGATCCATTCGGTTTACGATACTAACTCGAGTCAGAGAGAATTCAACTCGAGTGGGTTCGAGTTACGCCCAACTCGAGTTAACTCGAGTTACTTACTCGAGTTGACCATCACTACTTGCAGTACCAGACGGACACTACATACGCGTTAAAGTTCCACGACTTTTTTCAATAGCCCATTGTCTAAATGTAATGTCTTTGAAATCTCAGAGTTCAAGGAATCACTATCGCATAAAGCGGACTGTTTCAGACGTGTTCACGATTTTTATTCTGCTTCTAATACTTTTTCAGTGAAAATCTTTCCGCTTGTTTCTCATTGTTATAATAATATTAATTAGTAATTAACGGCATAATCAAATTGTTAATTAGTCCATAAACTGTAGCTTTATCGGTTACTGTATCTACCGAATCTACCGCTTAATAAGAAGTTGACAATTCTGAAGACGTACAGATAGCACGCACATTTTCTACTGTTCGTTGCATTCTATTGGCGTGCTTATATTGGTGAAAGTGGATGCACAAAATGCAGACTTAGCTTCGCTCTCAGCTCGGAGAGTTGTCGAATACCTAAAGCATTTCAATACATTTTTTTACATGCAAAACGTTACAAAACTCGACTTTAAAATAACAATGCGCTATTAAAAATAAAATTGACCAGCGTTGAATATTAACGAAAATAATATGAAATTATCACGTAACTGTTGTTGCTACCTTACATAACCCACATCGTACACTGAATGAAAGTTCTCAGTACGTTGACGTTTTTGCGTAAAATTGCCTATAGCCGTTTCTACGAGTGTACCATGCACTTATTTTCAAATGACGTCTGTATCGGACTTGACGTCACTGATTCCACATATCAGCGTAGGCTGATAAAATGTTTCATGAATTTCTACGTAACTGTATCACAGAAATTATACATATTTTTCAATAACATCTCTAATCTCACGAATATTTGAATTTTTAATCTAGCGCTCGTTTCATCTTAATTTTTGCAGCATGGCTCTGACTTCTGTTATTTTATCAAAGACACCAAAACATTACTCGTAGTACCGGTATGACACACTTGTTTTCAAATGGTATTGTTTGTGTGTTTATGCGTAGCCCATATAGGACGGCCAGGGATCTACCACTATCTACAATATTTTTTGACCTTGCTAAGTTGTTGATATCGAGTTGGATTGCTAAGTAGACATAGTAAAAACGATATTGTAATGTCTGTCTATATGTTTGGCGTCTGCAAGGGGCATACCAGGTCTAAAAAACTGGTGTTTTGAAATCTGAGGTGTTCATTTTTTATCTCGCGTCTGTCGTAAAAAAATGCGTTTTGATCCGTGAACGCGGAGATCTATTCAAACATTATCACAACTAAATTAATAATAAACGAACGACGTAATTATCGAGTTCGTTTATAACCAATAATTTGAAGGACGACAACCATAGAATACAGCTAAAATATTTAAGTTTATTCTATGTATTAGTGGATGATATGATAATTAACGTTCCCCTTCAAAATGATGAAATCATCATTTTGAAGCATCCCACTTAACATCAGGTGCGATTGTGGTCAAATACCTGCCTTGTTATGCATAAAAAAAAATATATATAAATTGCTAACTAATTAATTATAGCCTATTTATGTTATTCTGAAGTGTAAAGTTTTATCAAAATCCGTTCAGTAGTTTTTGCGTGAAACATTAACAAACATCCGTCTTTACAAACTTTCACATTTCTTATAACATTAGTAGGATTTGCTAATCCTGATGGGTTATTTGATTATCATTTTAGTGCAACCAAGGAATTTTTTTCTTCAAAATAATCTTTATTTAATCTAAATAATTTACTAAGACACTAGATATGGATTAATAAGGCGCCTGTATACTAATTATCATATCTTGTACTTGAAGAATTGCGCTGAATGCAAATAAAAAAGTTTTTACAACAATCAAATCGTAATCTCTGGTCGGTTGTTGACTGATAATGAATTCTACGACTCGGGGCTTATCTACATACCTACTTAAATTATCTGTTGATAAATAAAGATTATCTTTAGAATTATAGGTAAAGATA